ATGGGGGGATTGTGTGAAAATTCTGTTCCGGCTTCAGTAGAAGCCTCAGGAAATTCTTGTGGGTTCAGTTGAACTCCAGGTTGCAATCCTTATACCATGTCGTGGTCTAGTTGCTAGAAGCGTGTGCGTGGGAACATCCACCGCATAGGTTCGAACCCACATCACTGCTCCTACAGATATTCTTGATGGTTATTGTGCTATGCAATTCACTGAGAAATTCAATTTATTTATCTTTAAGTTTGTCTCATGTCCTGTATTGTGTAAATATACAGTAGTTTGAATGTCTAGTTGAAGTGCTGTTGATTTATCTGTTCAGGAAGAACATGGAATTTAGTGTTATCAGTTACTGGTTTTGACAAGGTCATGTTGCATCATTGCTATCTCTGTGCATTCTTACAATAGCCTGTTTATTAGTGTACTTAATATGCTCTCAAATAAAATCTGATCGTATAAGTACTGTACAGTATATAGTTTGGCAATTATCATAAATGCCTAATTACTCTCAATTTTAATTTCATGTAATGAACTAAACTAAAAACTTGTATATGAATAAGAATGTGCAATTATAACATTCATACCTCCCTCCCCTTGCCATTTTCGTCTTCTTAAAGATATTAAGCATAATTGATTGATTGTTTCTCAAATGCTATGCTTCATTGTTAAAAGACACTAAGTTGCATATTTTTATGAAAAAAATGTTTTTATAAGTAGTAATATAATGACCTTATCATCACATTAAATGTATAATAAATAACACTATATGTGAATATGTATATACAGTATATATACTTATAATGTATGATATAAGAAATGCAGACATGTTACTCATTGTACATGTTGACATGCATGGTAACCTGTCACACAAAAATTCTCATCCTCTATTATTGCCTTTTGCCCAGCCAAATAACCCACTAATAATAGCTAATCCCTAATCCATATCATGTGGCTGCGTAGAACTTCTCCTCACCCGATGCTGACTACTTCCTCCCATACAAGAATGTGAGGGTGAGAGATGCAGAGGATGATGAGGGATCTGGGGGAGGTTCCCTTATCCTGAAAGAGTATAGGAGCTCCAGCCCTCTTATGGAAATAATGGAAGACCAACAGAGGGTGGAGGAGGAGGTGGAGCTGGAATATATACCTATTTGTAGGGTAAGAAGCTTGCAGGGTTGGGTTAGAAAACAGGTCTTGTGTAGTGTAGAGGATAGTGTCATTGTTTGCTTCTGCAATTATTATCCACAGTTGCTGAATCAATTACTGTACTTGGTATTTAATTGTAAATACAGAAAATGTTGGATTGTGCCTGCTTCATTTGTAGCTGCATGTTTAGGTTACCTTATTTTGATCATAAAGTGTGTATGATTTTATTTTAACTTAAATTTTCAAATCAGCATTTACCGTAAATAAAAGTTTATATAGTCAGAATAACAGCATAGCTGCATTCTTTACAGGTTGTTGCAGTTGATGAAGACGAAGATGATAATGGGGATGTAAGTTACCGTATTGATTTTACAAAGTGGCATGGACTATTTAAGATTCATCCAAAGACTGGTGTGATATCAGCAAAGGCTGGATTGGATCCAAGGGAAGATTATGAATTCACGGTATGAAATTTTTAGTTTGTATGTATACTTGAACACTTATATATAATAAATATTTATATACTTCTGAAGCATATCAATTAAGGATGACTGTTTTGTTGCAAAGGTTGTTTGGTTAAGTATGAGCTGTCATTTATATATATATATATATATATATATATATTCTTTGGGATTTTAAACATGGGTGTGGATAGAATTAGATTTGAAATTTAAATACTGTACTGTATACCGGTAAGTCTTGCATTTTTATTTCAGAAAAGTTTTCCATTTCTTTTCTTTTCTTTTCTTTTTAGGTCCAAGCTATTGATAATGGACGTCCACAGAAATCTAATTCTTGCTTGGTACTTATCAACTTGGTGCCTGTACTTAAGACATCTCCTCACCCACCTGTTATTCGTGAGCAGCCTGAGATGCGTGTAACTGTTCTGGAAAGTGACCCTGTAGGTCACCATGTCACATTGATCGAAGCTCAGGATGATGATCAGGGTGACCAACTCTGGTTTGATATTATTGGTAAGATTTTTCTCTTTCTCTCTAATGTTGAAATATTTTGTTAAATCTAAATTTACTTGAGACTATTTTTGCTGAAGTTTATAAAATTTTGAAAATGTTTGCCACAGATTCAGAGAAGTTAATTCTAGCATCTGCATTATGTTTGTGAGTAAGATGTAATCTTTACAGTTTAGGGCATCTTATTATCCTTCATAACAAAAGCCAAATACAGTACAGTATATAAAATTTTTTTTTTTTAGTATCTACATATTAACTTTCAGTACATGTACAGTATTAGTACTTTATAGCTGAGTATATATACTTTATTGTAACTCACCCCCCACAAAAATGGGAAATGGGGGGAGTAATGATGATGATGATGTCAAGGATATATTTTCAGGTGGTGATGATGAGAACATATTCACTGTGGGTAGAGACACTGGAAGTGTTATGGTTGCTGGCAATTTGGATGCTGAACAAAAATCTCTCTACAATTTGACAGTTTCTGTTACTGATGGAGTTCATGTTGTTACAACTCAGGTAATAATTAACATTGTGTTTGTTATGAAGGTTTTAATGTAAATTTTAAATATTATAGTATACAGTATAGGTATTTATTTGACTTTGTACTTTCATTATGCCTCAGTAGAAACAATATCTGTTTAGTTTCATCTTAGTTTAAAGTAGTTTAAAGTAAGCATATAGAATACTTGGCCATTTGGCAATACGTTACACTGTTCTGGATTTGTATATTCTTTAGGGTATTTGAAATATATTGTGCTCATGAAAGTTTTATTTTCTGTTTTATCATATTATTGAATAAAAATTATAGGGAAAATTTTGCTTTGAAATTCATATTTAATTTTCTTTTCTGATTGCAGTTAATTGTATCAGTGCTGGATGTTAACGACTATCGACCAGCATTCTCTGCCCCCAACTATGAGGTTGAAGTGGGAGAAAATACTGCTCCTGGCACCACTATTTTCACGCTTACTGCCTCTGATCCAGACTCTGATCAACATCTAACATACACTCTTATCAACACAGCCCATACATCTTCTTCAGCAAAATTTAGGGTCAGCCCAATGAGTGGCGACATTGTTTTATATGAGCCATTAGACAGGTAAGATTCTAATTGTATCCAAATTGGAAAGGTATAATTGCTGAAAAAAAAATATTATATATATATATATATATATATATATATATATATATATATATATATATATATATATATATATATATAAAATATATATTGGTGTATACTGGCAGCAGGTTTTCATTTATACATGTTTCATTGAATATGACTGCATATTCTGTATTGCTTATTTTCTTGTTTAGGGCTTCTATCCCTCTGACTAGTGTTCTAGCATCTTGGTTTAATTAGAAGAGGAGTTCTCCAAAGGTCATCTTCATTTGAGGTGAAGAAAAAGAAATAAATAACTGTAGAATGTATTTCACTTATTATAAAAATTGCACAATGTTTCGAACCTACATGGTGCATTCTCAGGTGATAAGAAAATACAAGGTGTGTTAAATTTATACCATTAAGGGGGTCAGGTGAAGACAAGAAGATCTATACAAATGGGTCAAGAATAAAGGAAAAGGTAAGGCTTAAAAGAAAAAAGGCAAAAATAGGGGACGAAGGACATACAAAGATTAATCAGATATAGTAGGCGTAGCATGTTGAGCATTGTCTTCTATGTTGGCATCTTCATATTCCGGTCTTGTTCTTACTCTCATGGTGGGTAGAGTGAATAGTTCTGTAATTTGGGTATTTATGGTAGAAACCATGTATATCTGAAATTCCTACCATAAATACCAGTGGTTCATAAATACCTAGGTTCTCGTGGTCACTCCTCGAACCTAGGCCAGGGTTCACTGCTCACAAGCCAGATTCATTGATCTCTTAACCACTGTGATAAGAAATTTTTCTTAATGGTCTTGCCACATAGTTGGAGCAGGAAGACTGGAAAAAGATGTCTCAATTCACCACCAAGGTGATTGCTTGTTGCATTACAAAAACACATACTGTATCCATAAAACTCAATTCCTTCTTCTTCTTCGAGAGAGAGACTCTCATTCCCTGTGTTGATGGAGGAATCTCTCACATGAAGATACTCAATATCACAGCATTTTCCTTATGAAAGCATTTAGCATTTTTTTCCATGTACCAGATTTTAAATACAAAATTAGATGAACAATTTTTTCATTTCATGGCCCAAGATATATTTCCATCCGTATCAATAAGATGAAGACTAATAAAAAGTCAGTAAATTTTGTCAATGTGTCTATTTTGATCACTCTGTTTCCTCATTTTCTTGGGTTGGGGTAAAACGGGCATGTTAGTTTCAAAATTATGAAATTTGCACAAAAACTATTAATATATTTTTATTTGCAGAGAGGTACAAGAAGAACATATTTTGACAGTTGGTGTCAAAGATGGCATTCCTCCTACGAAGAGCAATTATGCACGTGTCGTCATCAAAGTACGAGACTACAATGATCATGCTCCACAGTTCCTTGCAACCCTCTACAATGGTACTGTTACAGAAACTGCAACAATTGGAACAACAGTTGCTGAAGTAATAGCTATTGATCGTGATAAAGGTGCCAATGGTCACATAATGTACTCGATTGTATCAGGTACGTAAATACAATCATATTTATAGGGGTTTTGTTTTTAATCATGATAAAGGCATAAATAGTCACATAATTTACTCAAATGTGTCAGGTATGTAAATAGAATATAGTACATAAGTAAAGGTTTTTTGTGTCCAGGCATTGGTAAATCTTCTTGGTCACTGATTCTGAAATTAATTTTATATAATGAGAGGGTACCTTATCATTGTTAATGCAGGTTAAAAGATGTTTGACAGAATCTTTCAATGTAGGAGGCTTCTGCAAAATGTATATTTTGCAAATGTATATTTAATGTCTTGCAAACAGCAAATATGCAGTGCTGAGATAATTAATTTATTTCTAGGTAACATTGGTGGTGTCTTCAGCTTGGATCCAGAGACAGGAATTATATCTTTAGCTAGAGCAGTTGATCGCCAAGAGATGCCAGAATATTGGTTGGCTGTTCGCGGAAGTGATAATGGCTCTCCACCCCGACATTCGCATGTTAATGTCAATATTCATGTGAAGATTGCAAGTGGTGCTCCCCCAAGGTATTATAATTTTATTATTTATATTATCAGTTTTGTTATATGTAATGAACGTTACTTTGTTTTGGTTCTGAGGATCAATGTTTCTGCGGCCTTTAAATATTAAATATATTTGCCTATTTCAGCTTTTATATTAAAATCAGTTTCTGGAAAAACCCCTTCAGCTGTTTGTCAACTTACACACTTGTATAATCAAGTCTTAAGAATTGCACCATGCTTTTGAGAACCACGCTGACCTGAACCACACTGATCATTTGGGAGCCAAGACCAGAATCTGGCTGCCTCTAGGAGGTGAGGAAGCTTCGGGAATCAGAAATCTAACCGAAACTGAAAAAGCCTTCCAGAAAGGTTAGATCAAACAAAATAAACTACTTATTGAAAGAAGGAGATGAACAATAAGGCAATTGATCATTGCCTAAGGCAAACAACCTTTCTATTATGAGCTCGGGCTGCCAACAGATGATGGTGCAGGTCATATGGGGGGTTCTGGTCTACCACCCATGTCACTTACCTAGTATAGTTGGAGTTGGATGGCTTCTATTGGGACCCCCTGTGCTGCTTCTTTATTCAGCTAACTGGTATTAGTTTTCTCTGGAACTTTAGTTCCATGCAATACTGTTATTTTTTCTTTATTCTTTTTGAATCTGTTTAATATAATACAGATTGTGTGTTCCCTGGCTTTTACTTAATTCATGCTTTGGGTCAGAGTTTTCTTCACTGGTGGCTGGCTTGCATCATCTCTCTCCTACTCCTTGAGCGATACGATCTCTGTGGTGGTACGAGTTCCTCCATAATGAGACAATTCCTGTTGAGTTTTACCTCGCTTCCGGGTAGGGTCGGGTACATGTTGTCCACTGTGAGGTCTGTTCATAAGGAGCTGATATAGTTAGCTGTACTCACCTAGTTGAATGCACCTAGTTGTGCTTATGGGGGTTGAGCTTTGGCTCTTTGTTCCTGCCTCTCAACTGTCAATTTACTGGTGTACAAATTCCTGAGCCTACTGGGCTCCATCATATTTACCTTTGAAACTGTGTATGGAGTCAGCCTCTACCACATCACTTCCTAGTGCATTCCATTTACTAACTACTCTGACACTGAAAAAGTTCTTTGTAATGTCTCTGTGGCTCATTTGGGTACTCAGCTTCCACCTGTGTCCCCTTGTGCATGTTCTGTAATTACCTAAGTGTAATTACCTATGTGTAGTTACAGGATGAGAGCAACGTTCGTGGTGTCCCGTCTTCCCAGTACTCTTTGTCATATAATGCTTTGAAACTACTAACAGTTTTGGTCTCCACCACCTTCTCGCCTAACTTATTCCAACCGTCTACCACTCTGTTTGCAAAAGTGAATTTTCTTATATTTCTTCAGCATCTTTGTTTAGTTAGTTTAAATCTATGACCTCTTGTTCTTGAAGTTCCAGGTCTCAGGAAATCTTTTCTATCAATTTTATCAATTCCTGTTACTATTTTGTACGTAGTGATCATATCACCTCTTTTCCTTCTGTCTTCTAGTTTTGGCATATTTAATGGCTCTAACCTCTCCTCATAGCTCTTGTCCTTCAGTTCTGGGAGCCACTTAGAGGCATGTCTTTGCACCTTTTCCCGTTTGTTGATGTGCTTCTTTAGATATGGGCATCATACAACCGCTGCATATTCCAGCTTTGGTCTAACAAAAGTCGTGAACAATTTCTTTAATATTTTGCCATCCATGTATTTAAAAGCAATTCTAAAGTTAGAAAGTGTAGCATAGGCTCCTCGCACAATGCTCTTAATGTGATCCTCAGGTGACAGTTTTCTATCTAGAACTACCCCTAGATCTCTTTCTTTATCAGACTTCTTTAATGATTCCTCACATAATTTATAAGTTGTGTAGGGTCTATGTTCTCCTATTCTACATTCCATAACATGGCATTTATTTACATTAAATTCCATTTGCCATGTGGTGCTCCATATACTTATTCTGTCCAGGTCTTCTTGAAGGGTTTGACAATCATCTAAGTTACTTATCTTCCCTATTATCTTAGCATCATCTGCAAACATGTTCATATAATTCTGTATTCCCTCTGGTAGATAGTTTATGTAGACAATGAACATTACGGGTGCAAGAACTGAACCTTGTGGTTCTTCGCTTGTGACATTTCTCCAGTCCGATACACTTCATCTTATTACTGCCCTCATTTTTCTATCAGTCTGAAAATTTTTCATCCATGTTAGCAGCTTACCTGCCACCCCCTCCAATGTGTTCCAGTTTCCAGAACAACCTCTTACGTGGAACTCTGTCAAAAGCCTTTTTTAGGTCCAGATAGATGCAGTCAACCCAATCATCCGTTTCCTGTAAAATCTCTGTGGCTCGATCATAGAAACTGAGTAAATTTGATACACAGGATCTACCAGATCGAAAACCATACTGTCTGTCTGATATTACTGTATAATATCACTCCAGGTGTTCTACCCATTTAGTTTGAATTATTTTTTCCAATATTTTGACTATTACACTTATCAATGATACAGGTCTATAATTGAAGTGGTCTTTCCTGCTGCCACTTTTGTAGATTGGAACTATGTTTGCCTTTTTCCACACATCTGCTACGACTCCTGTACACACGGATGCCTGAAAAATCAGGTGAAGTGGAATGCTGATCTTAGATGCACATTATCTCAGAATCCATGGTGAAACTCCATTAGGCCAACTGCTTTGTTCTTACTTAGCTCCTTGAGCATATTTTCCACTTCGTCTCTAGACACCACTATGTGCTCTATGTTGTTCTCTGGAATTCTTATTGTGACTGGTTTTCTGAAGATTTCAGTTTGTACAAACACACTTTGAAACTTTTCGTTTAATGTTTCACACATTTCCTTTTCATTTTCCATAAATCTGTTTCCCATTTTCAACCTCTGGATATTATCCTTTACCTGCAATTTGTTGTTTATGAATTTGTAGAATAGGCCTGGTTCTGTTTTACATTTGTCTGCTATCCCTTTTTCAAAATTTCTTTCTGCCTCACTCCTTACTGCTGTGTAGTTGTTTCTTTCATCTTTGAATTGCTGGTATGTTTGAGGGGTTTGGCCTCTTCCTATATTGATTCCATTTTTTGTCTTTTGGTCTCTGGCCCTCTCGCAATTTCTGTTGACCCAATCCTGTTTTCTGGCCCTGCATCTATATTTAGGTATGAATGTTTGTGTGCCTTCATCGTATATTTTGCAAAATTTGGCATACATCTCATTTACTTCCCTGCCTAGCAACAAGTCTGTCCACTTATACTCATTAAATAAATTTGAAGTTCCCCATAGTGTCCTCTCTTGAAATCGAGTTTATCAACTGTTTCAGTGTCCCCATTTTCTTCTAGATGATATCTTAAAAGCATATTTAATGTCCAACAGGACATGATCACTCTTTCCCAAGGGAGGAAGGTACTTGATGTCAAATATCTCTTCTTCTTTCCTGGTGAATACTAGATCCAGTACTGACGGTACATACCCTTCCCTCATTCTTGTGGCCTTCTTGACGGGTTGATACAAGAATGTCTCCAGAATGAAGTTTACAAATCTGCATGTCCAAAAGTCCTCCGTTCTTTCTTCATAAGCCTTCCGGTCTATTGCTTTAAAGTTGATGTCCCCCAGTATCAACAGTCGTGATTTATCTTTATCTGCTTGTACTATAATTTCTCTCATGACCTTTATGAGGCCCTGTCATTTGTCATCCAGTTCTTCCTTTGTCCATGTGTTGCTTGCTGGTGGGCTGTAGGCATTTACAATTATCAGTTTATCATCCTGATTCCAGACCTGCAATAACATTATGTCAACTTCTCGAGTGTTTTTAAGTATTAACTTCAGGTTTTCTTTCACTGTACGTTCTGCCTGGCCCCTGAGTCATGTGTGTTTTAGTGGTTTGCCCCTTTGCGAGATGTGCATTTGGATTGCATTAAATGATTCTTCCTTATATGTGATTGTGTATGCCTTCATTAGGCAATAGCAATAGCTATGTGTGGAACTGAAATGTGTTTCAGTTTTTCTTTTGTGCCTAGCATGTCTGCTCATTTGCTTTATGATCTGAGAAGCCAGTATCTGATGTTTATTGGTCTTTTAATGGCATTAATCCATCTGATTGCTGCTACTAATCTGCATGTTGGATACAGGGCCATTCTCATTATGCCAGAATTTTTATAAAAAAAAACCTTGGTGCTACTACCCTCTACTAAAAATGCACAATGCAGGTATAATTGCAAAGACCTGCTTTTGAGTTTATGAATAACAGTCCAGGTCTCAGTCCATGGCTGCAGCTTCTGTTTAAGTTGTAAGTCCTCCATTTGTCTGGAGATGGAAAGGTTTTTGGAGCTTCCTCTTTACCCTTGTATGGCCTGTACAAGGCACCTCTACTGCTCCTCAATGTTATGATACAGTAACTGAGCATGATTTTATCCCAGGCCAACACCTTGGCATTAAACTTCCATGTCAAGACACACATGCTTAGGTAACTGTTACCTATCACCCTGTTAATTGATTGTATGGTAAATCTGTACTCTTCAATTTTATTTGAAGACATTATTAGGCTTAATTTTTGTTCTTAAATTTTGCTTGGCTCTAGGCCCCAACCCACATATTTGCCAAAACAGGACAGGCCTTTGAAGAAGTGCACATGGTCCATGAATTTTGGAGTTCAGTAGAGTGTCAATAGTGAAGAGCCTGACGACACTCCTATACATCCCTTGGTCTAAGTCAGAGTGTGACTCGAAAAACATTTTTTCTTGGCCCTTCTTCCTACGTGGAGACAATTGATTGCATAGTTTGATGCTGTGGAGACTGCCTGGATCTCCTTTGACCCATCGTAGGTTTTGCTGACTCAGTCTGGTGGTCCCTCCTTCCATGTGGGTGGAATATTGCAGCACGGTGAACAACTGACAGTTTGTGGGAGTGCTATTTGGCAATCCTTGTGGTGCCACATGCAGGCAGAATGGCTGCAATTATTTATAAGTGAAGTTTCAAAGCATTTTGGGCTTGACTGAGCTTTTCTCTAGTGCCTCTAGCACAAGTATCTTTTCTTAAGGAGCAAGCAAGTGAAATAGCTTTAATACATATTTGTAGTACATCATTGTAATTGCTTGCAATATCTTTTGCTATTTTCTCAGGTAAGAAAATAAACAATAAAAAATTCTAAAAACTTCAAAATTATTGAATTTGACCTGTAAGTTTTCACTGGTTATTCAGTATATTTAAGATCACATTTTTATCTCTATTTTTAGATTCTTGAAGAAAGTGTATATCTTTGAAGTCAGTGAAGCAGCCCACGTGGGGGATTACCTAGGAATTCTTGAAGCAGAAAGTCGTTTGGGCGTTGTCTTTTCCTTCATAGGTGAATCACGACGCAACCCCTTTGCTATAAACCCTGCTTCTGGGATGGTTTCATTAGATATGCCTGTGGATTTCGAAGAAGTTCAGTCATACAACTTCACTATCTTGGCATCATCCATGGTATGTTTTATACATTGACATAATTTGTAATGTAGAAATCAAATTTAGTTATCATTATATTAGTTGACTTTTGAAATTTGTTATACTTTTATCATTTTTTTCAAGCATTATTTTCATTTGCCTTTTTAAATGTTACATGAGTAGTGAAGAATATTAGCTAGAATTAAAAATATAATTATACATGTGTAGTATATCATGTAATAATTTGTCTTATTATACATACCTATGTAAGAACTTATCTTCTATTTCCATTTGGGACTATCCTTTCATTAACAGAATGGACAAGAAGCAACTGCTCAACTGATAATAAATATTCGAGATGAAAACGACAACCCCCCATACTTTACTCAAAGTTCTTATAGTGGACACATCTCTGAGGCTGCTGCAGTGAATTCCGTTGTACTCATGGAAGACAACAGTCCATTGGTAATCTCAGCACGGGATAAAGACTCGGACCAGAATTCAAATTTAGTTTTTACGATACTGGAAGAAGAAGCAAGGATGTATTTTACAATTGACTCATCAACAGGTAAATATTTTGGATCTTTTATATTATGCCATGATTGTTTACAATTTTTTTTACCAGGCTTAGGCACAAAAGTTGAAGAAAATGCTTTGACTGTAAATGAAAAACTTCTTTCTGAGAAAACCATTGTGTCATTTACTTTTGTTAACTACTAGCAGATTGCCTATTCACCATTGCTACCAACTGTCAGGATTTGGCACTGGTCTTGTACACAAGAGCAGCTGGTGTACTAAACCATCTTGCTATCATCCCAATTCACTCACTGTTGAGGCACTATATATGATTAGATAGAAGGGAGCATCCTGGAAAGACTTAAGTGTTTTTCTCAGAAAGGAGCTTTCCCAGCTACATTCAAATTCTTATTTCTAGGCTCAAATCACTGAAGAGCTCTTGCAGGTAAGAATCACCATAGCTGATAAAAGAAGGGCAAAGGGACAAACAAAAGGGATAACTTACACATGTTGCAAGAGGAAGCTAGAAGACTCTTGAGGAAAAGAGGAGACTTGCATAGGTCATTGTGGAGAAAAACACCTTACGAATATTTAAAATCCACAGGTCATAGACCAAAGATATTTCATCAGATGACTACATAATGTACATTCACATACAGCCACTGGCAAGCACAGCATTTCGGGCAAGTCCTTAATACTAATATTCCCCGAATACGACCTGCTAAATCGTTTAACAATCAGGTACCCATTTTACTGCAGGGTAAACAGAGGCTACAGTTAAGGATACGCACCCATTAAATCCTCCCCGACCAAGATACAAACCCAGGCCAAAGTGTTCAGGCGAGTTTATTACCACTAACTAACATTACAAGAGCTAAGATAGGAATGCCTATCCTATCTGCTTGGTTTACTGGTTAAGGAACAAACCATAAGACACTGAGTGTCAAAATGCCTGAAGACACAGCTGTAAAGAAGCCACTGGACATAGATAATGATAGACAGAGACCCTTACAAACCACATATTTTCCAGAATTTGGCCTTGCTGGAAGGGGAAAAGGGGAAATCTCATTCTTTGCCTGCAAATCAAAACTATATTAGAGGTGAACAAGAGCATCACCATGGCTAAAGACAATAAAGCCTTCTGAAAGACATAACTAGGAGGTCACCAAGTGTAGCCCATGCCTAGATCTTCCAGCACCAGATGGTTCCTAACAATGTCCAACACCAGAACCACTACCTAAATGAGAAGACTGATAAATCTGACCATGATTTCTATATGGATGGAATAGGTGGATGGAATGTGTGGAAAATACTTTTCTGTGGAGACCCTCATTGGCTCCCTGAAGTTATCCGAATTGATATGTGCTATATTAGTTTGAGATCATCAATCACAGGAATTCTTATGTCTACCAGGAACCATGCACCAGAACCTGGTTTCCTTAGAGAGGCTCAGGGAGCAATGGCCTATGAGCATTTTACATTTAAAGTATGTCACAATTGCCATCGACCGGGAAAGGACCACAGAAAGGTAGGCAAATCAGAACATATAAAATTATGTTCAATGTTCTCATGCTTATTATCCTTACATTGCATTTACAGTATGCTTTCACTTATTTTAGTGTATTTAACAGTCTAACATCTGTTAACACTATTGTTAACAGTCTAACATATGTTAACACTAACTAATGTATTTAATCAGTCTAGTCAACCTTCTGTAGTGTAATTATGCATTGATTTCCTGTTCAATTATTTTTAACTTACTTGGTTTCCTCTCTTTTCAGGTGCAATAAGAACTGTCGGCCCTTTAGATCATGAGGTTGTGTCTAAAGTTAGCTTTAGTGTGAAAGTTCATGACAATGGCCAACCAAGACTGTCAGCATCGACTACAGCCTCTGTTGTAATTACCATTACTGACATAAATGATGTTCCACCAAGGTTCCTATTGCAGGAGTACAATGCTACTTTGCTCACGCCAACTCAGAGGTAAATTGATGGGTTTGATCATATGCATACAAGGAAGAATGTTCTGTACTCTACTCCTGTTAATTTCTGGGAAACTGCTTTACTCACCTAATTGTACTCACCTAGTTGTGCTTACGGGGGTTGAGCTTTCACACATTGGTCCCACCTCTCAACCGTCAATATACTGGTGTACAGATTCCTGAGCTTCTCGAGCTCCATCATATCTACATTTGAAACTATGTATTGAGTCAGCCTCCACCACATCACTTCCTAGTACATTCCATTTATGCTGTGGTTGCCTTCTGGAGTGTGGGTATGCTTGTTGATCAGTAGGAAAACCTGTACTCACATGAACATTATGAGGGCATAATGACATCACACATCTCATGCACAGCCTATATAAAACACAAAATTTTATCTCTTATTTTTGTTTGGTTGGGTTGGGTTTGTTTATAGGGTAGTGATGACAGAGAAGGGTGCATACTTTTCTCGTCTTAGAGCCTACTATATTTATCTATGATGTTGTATATTGTGAATGATACAATGAATGGACATGTAATATTTTTAATATTTGTCATTATCTATAACCTCCTTTTGCTATACTTTATTTTCGTCTTTTTTTTCTTGGGGTTCATGCATCCTTACCCGATGAAAATGGGAAACAAGATGATAATATTGTATGCATGTACTGTACTTGAGTTATTATTATTGTATTTGATCATTCATATTTTCATTAGTATTGTTTTAGTGTTATCATCATTGTTTTTGTATTACTAGCATTTCATATGAATTTAAGTGTTTTGCTCAATTTAAAAGTTTTACAAAACCAGTCACAATGTTCATGTCTAGACACAACCAGAATTGTAAACATATGTACCTATATGTTTATTTTAAATCAGTTATTCTTAATTAAATTTCCCAAATTATGTGAATATGTTGTCTTGATTATACATATATAATGTGAAGCATTATGATTTATGATTTACTTTGATACAACTTATAATGTTTCAGGGATGTGTCTGTTGTGCAGCTTAATGCTACTGACCTGGATTTTGATGGTAAAGCTAACCTTGAGTATGAAATAGCAGATGGAAACAAGGAGGGAAAGTTTAAGATCAGTGCTAAAACAGGACTCATTACTGTTAATACTTCCAGTAATCTTGCTAGCAATTATCAACTGAAGGTATGTGTTTTATGCATATGGCATTAATTATAGATGAAATGCTACTTTCTTAACCGGGCACTCAGTCACTTTCTTAGACAATTTCCTACTTTCTATGGGCCATTGCAAACTCCAGCTTTGGCCAGTGTAATTTTCCATCTTCTGATGTAGTGGGAATCTTTTTCAAAATGCCCTCACCAGTCCATAATAGAAAGAAGCAAGACACTGGAAAGTTCTAAATTCAACTTTAAGTATCTGTCCGTAGATATGGGTAGCAGCTTCCACTTGTCCCCAAATAGCACCACTGATAGTGTAAACACTTGAGATAATATTGAGGCTGTACAATGTTATTGAAGCTGCATCTCAGGACTTCCCAGGCAGGAATTGTTGGTTCGACCCTATTGTATAGACTCAATATTTTTTTCAGAACCATCATGTTATTGCGATTTCATTGTGCAGTTAAACAGTGTCAGCCAGCTAACTTGCCTCACCTTTATTCCACTCATCCGAGATTTCTTTGGTATTCTTGGTATATTCCAAGGTATCCCTAGAAGAGCAAGTGCCCAGCTCTGAAAGGAGTATTTCATCTACTCCCAATTCCATATCAATCTGGAAGGAGATACTGACATAAAAGATGGTACAGTAGAAGTATTTTGATGAACTAAAACTGAAGAATTAAGTATTTTGACACTGGATTTGGAAGTAGGGAATATAGGTGATAATGAGAAATGTTTAAATGTGATGGTCTTCAAAATTTTAACAGTTATAGAAAAAGGTGAATATTTTTATTTACAGGAAGTAGTTCATCATTGACTATTAATAATATTTTTGTGCGTAAAGAACTGAATAGGAAATCTTCAGTATAGTTTGTTGCAATGATTATTCTATTATAGGAAGTTTATGATTGAGTGTTCAATGACAAAGGAAAATAAAATAAGTTCAGAGTGGCCTTGCTGAGTGACAAGAATGTGTAACATATCAACAATAACCGGTAGCTGAGAATTATTGGTGAAGTAAAAAAGTGTCAAATATCACTCTGCAATATACACTGCCTGCCATCAGGCGACACCCATCATTGTAACAGGGTCAGAGGAGCTGTAGTAGATAGTCATAGCTTAGGCATAGCTTAAACTTGCTACTGACTCCCTTAGATATGTAACAAGAACACCTGCAAAGATCCCTACTGTGTAAATACATGTACACTGTGTGTGTGAGTGTTACAAACAAGTGTTTTCAGTAGTGTATTTTTGTTTACCCACAGGTAACTGTAAATGATGGACAGTTTGCATCTAGTGCTGCAGTCAATATTTATGTGGAGCCAATACCTCGGACTGGTTTGAGGTTCAGCGAAGAAAAATATTTTGCTGCAGTGGAAGAAAACAGCACACGAGTGGACAAAGTTGCAATGGTTCATGTTCTAGGCAGTAATCTCAATGAGCATCTTAGGTTCAGTATCCTCAACCCCACAGATATGTTTACCATTGGTGATACATCAGGTGTAATTCAAACTACTGGCAAGCCTTTTGACCGAGAAGTCCAGGACAATTATTTATTAGTCATAGAGGTAAGTTCTCTGTTTTTTATTTGTAAAAATTAACTGATATTTTCATTACTATAGCAATTGGGTATACATGTTGATGATTTGAATTTTTTCTCTGAGAAGAGTATAAGTATTGCTTTTTCATTACTTAATGATTCACAATTTCCTAACTCTCACTACCATTTGTTTATGGCTAATACCAGATACTGGTCACTGGATTAAGTTAGATTATTTATCCCAAAGGATAAACCCTCCAGACTGAAAGGAGGAAGAAATTAAAAATAGATATAAACACAATGAAACACTGTTTTCTCTATGTATTCCCCAAGCATTTTCCATTTTTATAATCTATCTACTGGTCAATAGTGCATTCAGTTTGTAACTCCCTGTGCCAGAATACTTGGCCACCACAGTTTTCATCAGCAATGATAATTATGAAATAGCTCTTCTTGTGTCTATGTACATTGTATTCACCTTAAACAATAGATTCTTAAACAATAATTAACATTAAACTTTGTGTTTGATGCCTAGTAATAAATAAGTACCAGCATACATAGGTGTCTGTTGTTACATCCTGGGGGAAAGATCAGTCATTGGCGGAGGACCTAAGGGGACCTCAATAGGCAGTTCTGTTTCTTTATTTCCATAATTTTACTTTTGTGTTGCATATATTGAAACAGATTCTTATTGTTTATGGTTAATTATTTTGTTAAAATGCTGGTTGATACAAAATTATTTCATTCAGAATTTGCCTGCTCTTTTGTTGTTTTGTAATATATTCATAATATAATATGAAAGGGGGTCTGATTATAATGTTAGCATAGTAGTTTGGAGAGTAGAACTACTCGCAGAACCCCATCCAGGTACAGGAACAGTAGGAATTTATATTTTGTATAAAACTACTGATAATACATATGAACAGTGTACCAGATTAATTGTAAAATCCTAGTTTCATTATGAAGAAAGAGATGTGTTGTATGCATAATTTTAAATAAAATGTTTGTACAGCAAATATTTATCATTTTTATGGTGAATATTTCTATGCACATATATAGCATTCAACTATACAGTTCAATATTTCAGTCTGTTACTTGTTTCCAGTATTTCCATAGAAGACATTTATGTTTTTTTTATATTTACTGTTGTGTTTATCACGAGCCATTTGTATATCAAATTAAGCATTGCATTAGAAAAACTGAGGCTCTATAATTTATCTTAATCTGATAACATATTTTCTGCAATTTTATTTTTACACTGTTGATATGGAATTTAATTTTAGAATCAGATGACTAAATATATTCTATATTTTCTCGTGTAGGTGCGCAGCGTAGTCCACACCACTCCAACCCGTGTGGCTCATGTGCAGGTACATGTGGTGGTCACGGACAAAAATGACAATGCTCCGATTTTTGTGAATACACCATACTATGGAGTTATTTCTGTTGATGCTAAAAAGCATCAAGTAATTTTTAGGGTAAGTTTAATAAGGATATTTTAAAAAGTATATTATAATTCCAAACTGGATATTTCTTTTTTATAAGCATCTGGAACTTCATTACTTGCAGATAAGTATATTGCCATGAATATATTTCTATATACTATATCAATTTTTATTTAAATTAATTTAAATAAACTTGCATATTTAATAGTTTGAGAAAATACTGAGGCCATTATGGGCTCGACCCTGCATCCCTCAACTCCTTTGGCACATGCACAACCAACTGTACCAAACTGGGCTAAAAGTATCTCAGCCTGAAGTACTACCTTATTGTCATGGTCCATTCGGTATTGCATGTGCTTGAGGAGCCCAGGGAATACAGTATATATTGAACTAATGGGTTCAGTCCCATCATACAGCCTTAATATTTTTTCATTGATTCATCACTTTCTTGTGATTATACAGTATTATGCATTAAACTTTATTCTGACTTCTACATCTAAGTGTTTTTTGGACCTCAGGTTCATGCAACTGATTTTGATGCTGATGAGAATCGTGATGTTCGTTATGAACTACAACGTGGTAATGGGGAAGTGTTTGCTGTCAGTCGTTCAACGGGTGAAATAAGTATCAAACAAACACTAGAGGGGCTCAAGAGTGAATATGAACTCATGATAAGTGCATATGATGGAGGTAAGATATAATAAAAAAAAATGCCTGGGATTAATAACGTATCCTGTTAATGTATGCTAATTTCATTATAATCCTTCTGTTTCTCCATATACTTTTCTCAAATAGATCATATAGTGTGAATATGTTATGTTATAAGCAAACTTTATTATGATAACTATCATTCTGACATGAAAAGGGGGGACCATAACGTATTACAGTATGTACAATATTATAATTAGGGTTGTTTGCCTTTATAATGTGTACAGTTGGCCCCTTGATTTGGCTGGTGGATGTATTTCTATTAAGTTGTGGTGTGCATGTTGAATTCATACTTAAATTGAAGAAACAAATCTGTGAAATTCAAGATAAATATGATTAAAGCAATATTTAGTAATACAAATCTGAGAATAACAGGCCACTGTTTGGTACTAACATGCTACATAGTCTCCCCGGCTTGGCACCTTCTTTTGATAATTACTGACTTACTTGGTACTAATATATTGCCTCATCTATGAAAAACCATGTTATTAATCCATAAAATACATTTTATTAAAATCCTTGATAGTTTGAATGTTCTTAAAAAGTTTAGGTTATAAACTTCAAATGTGAAAAGCAAATTAACTGTAGCAAATACTTCACATTTAGGTTCTCCACCCTTGTCTTCACAAGTTCCTGTTCGACTTAAAGTGGTGGATAGGTCACAGCCAATATTTGACAGACAGTTCTACAGTGCTATTGTAGCAGAAAATGCCGAGTCCCACACACCCATTGTGACTGTCACAGCACACAGTCAGCTTAGCAGAAAACTTATTTATACCATTGTTGGTGGTAATGAGCATCAGACATTTGCTATGGAGCATGAAGAAGGTAAGAACATTAGTTTAAATTTTTTTGATGAATTTGAATATATTCAAACACAATACTGTAAATGATCTTGTGAATGGATTCAGCTAAAATAATATTTCAACCCTTCTATTCGTTGAAAATAATCCCTTGGTTGAAGATTGTAAAAATTGCATCTACTGACTTTTCCAGGTCTAATTCGAGTCCAAGACGGACTTGATTTTGAGACTCAGAATTCCTACCAGCTGACTGTTAGAGCAACAGATAGTTACTCTGGCAAGTGGGCAGAAGTTGTTGTGTCTGTACAGGTCATTGATGTCAATGACAACCCACCAGAATTTTTACAACACTTTTACAACATTACTGTGTCTGAAGCCACTGCTATTGCTACTCCAATTCTGACTGTCACAACCTCAGATAAAGACACAGGATCAAATGCAGGAGTGAGTTACCGGCTAATGGGACTGAATGGAACTTTACCCAAGAATTTTTACATGGATGGAGAGACCGGGGTGCTGATACTGAAGCAAGGATTGGACCGAGAAACTTTGCCAATTCACCACTTCTTGGTGCAAGCCATAGACAAAGGAACACCACCACTTTCGTCTACAGCACACATTTTGGTAACAGGTATGTGAATGTGTTTTTTGTTTTGTTTTGTTTGCTGGGAAGTGTTTTAGTATAGCTTTGTTTTGTCTTTATTGTTTATTTCTTGGAAAATATCAAAACATCACAGAAATATGGGATTCATGTAACATTATAGTCAGTCACTCAACCATCTAGTTGTATAACAGACTGTTTACATAACATTTATGACTATAGAAATGGTAATCACTTTCTTTTCCAATAATATTTGCTATCTGGCTTATAAAATTTAATGTATAGTATCTCTAAAGCATTGCAATGAACTCTGACTGTTGCAGTACACATTATGCTTAGGGAAATAGAAGAATATTGGGATCAAAATATTTTGGACATATTCTAGCCTTTATCATTTACAACAAACAACTCGACTTTATGGGAGTATCAGTTTCTTCTTTCTTCATGGCGAGTTTATTCGCAAAGCTTCCGAGGGGTTCCTCCCAGAAATTCAGCATTGGATGCGATGAAATACCACCTCTTCCTGGTGGGACCCTCAATAACTCCCTGTCCCTACTCATACCATTCCATGATGTTTGTGGCTAGTACATTTGGGAGGTAGGGGAATGGGTGGGGTTTTATGTAGCTTTTCAAAAAACAATATTTCTACATAATATAAATTAGATGGATAGATAGATTTACTTGGTTATAATGTACCAGATACATAAACTGTTCTATTAAATATAAAATATAAGTACTGTATCTGTAAGAATGAAAATGATCAATATATATTGCTTAGATTTGAATGAACTTTTTGAGAGAAAAGAATGATATTTCTAAAAATGTAGAATTATGTATATCTTGTAAACAGAATGATACTTGAAGAGTAGACTGTAAAATTACTCAAAATATTGCGCTAAAAATGTATGAATATGTTTGTATCATGATACCAGTTGTAAGTGACTGCTATATTATACATTATAAATTTTTTGTTTCAGTGTCTGACATGAATGACAACCCACCAGTATTTGAGCAACAGGCCCAGCACTGCGTTGTGACTGAAGATGCTTCTCGTGGTCACTTTGTTACCCTTGTTTCTGCTGCTGATGAGGATATTGGTGATGCCAATAAACTTATTTACTCTGTTGTGGATGGTAATGACCTACAGGCTTTTACCATCAACTCTGCTTCAGGTAATGAAAATTTCTTGTGTTTCATAAGTAATTTTCTAGATCCACTACGAGTGAAAATATTATCTGCTAGATGCAGTTAACTAGTTTCTTTAAAGTTGCAGTTCTCCATAGCACCATTGAGTTTTATATAATATACTTTTACAGAATATTTATAAAAGTTTTGCTCATAAAATCCATTGTAGTTCATTAAGCATAGGAGGATGTTGCTTGTGTTTTCTATAATATGGAAAGGTCCTTACTCATATCCTGTAGCACAGTAGTCTACATGCTTGGCTGACAACTGAGGGACTCAAAATTATTGAGGATGTTTACTTTCCTCAATAGTTTTTGGAAAGGAAGTTATAATAGGAATGGAAATCGTAAAACGATAATTTTGGGCTTTCAAAAGCATCACCTCTGTGATGATGGTGATGCCTCAGTTCACCTACCAATGAGTTAGACAACTAATATGGGTTGCATTCTGGTGAAGGTCAGTAATTGGCCTAGGAGGACTGTGATAAGCCTAAGTAAAGGCTTCCTGTCCCCAACACTTGGAATTAAAAGCAAGATTTATTAGTATAAGCATTGTAATTAAAACTGATCTTTTCTTATGCAGGAATAGTAACAGTTTGGAATAGTCAAAAGCTTCGTGAGAGTACTCAACATATTCTAAACATATCAGTAAGTGATGGTGTCTTCACGGCATATACACGTCTGGTAGTTACCATCACACCAGTCAATGCCCATTCACCGACCTTCAAAGTGGCCCAGTATGATGCTAACATCCAAGAAAATGCCGCAATCAAAACTACTGTTGCTCAAGTGTCTGCCAGAGATGTGGATTCTGGGCGTTATGGTGATGTGACGTATCATTTTATAGGTGATGATGCACACAAGTTCTTTCGGATTAATGAAAATACAGGTATGGTTTGACAATTTTGTATGAACAAAATTATGCTATTTCTTTGTTCATATTGGTCACTTGAAAGTATATGGTTGTTGATTACAGTAACTACAAAATTAACAAAATATATATATACTGTAGTTATTAGTATATTTGCATTAGCTTCTCAGTTTGCTAAGGGTATAATTTTTTATAATAATTCCATATGATTATTTATGAGAAACTGAAGAGACAAAACAATGGGCTAGTCAAGTAATAAGCTCAGACTTAGGAGACTAAATTGGCAAAGCATCACTAGTTTTGTTTATCCCTCACAAATACATTAGAATTCCTTATCATATGGAAAAGTTAGTACTCAAGCTATCAGTTAGCTTTTTTGCAATTACTGTACAAATGTTGAATTTTGCCCAAGACTTTTACTGATTCTAATTCCAAGTAAAATTTGTTATATAATTGTAGTCATGAAGTAACCAATGCAATAAACTTCCATTTCATTTCACAAAGGTGATGTATGGACATCAGAAGTATTTAATCGTGAGGAGCGAGCTGAATATGCCTATACTGTAATGGCCATGGACATAGGTGGGCGCACAGGTTTCACTACACTTCACATTTCCGTTGATGACGTGAATGATAATAACCCTGTCTTCATGCAGTCTGATTATAAAGCAATCATCAGGTCCAACACTACCTCTGGATCTGTTGTCATGAAGGTCAGTTATAATTCTCTTGCTTTTCAAATACACCCCACAGGGTGAACAGAATCACTGGAGAATATTAAATCTTGTTTAGAATGACTCGGAGCTCTTCTTAATCGTTCATTGGCATCATAGAAGACCATCAGAGACATAGAGGATCGTCAGAGAAGGGCTTGCCCCACTGAACCCTAATTGGTTTTTGTTTATTGCTTTAATTCAGAATAATACAATATGTTCCCAGTTAGCTCGGTTTTCTTTTCTAATTTATAAATTAGTCCCTTATGAGGAAAGTGTCAAATGTATATTGTCAGTCAAAAAATTTGCAATCCATTTATCCTCCTCTCTCCATTGTATTTTGGTGACTGTTGTAGAATTCTGTCAAGTTCATCATGCTTCCTTTTTCCCCAGAAAATCGTGATATCTTTCAGTTACAAATTTATTTCTCTCTAGATGTTACCCAATCCTTTTTTTCTGATAATGCTTTGTATTTTACATGGGATAAATAACTGTGACACTCATGTCATGGAAAGTTGGAAAGAGCTGTTAAGTTTTATGATAATTTTGGGCTTGCTAGGATAGTCTCCAGTAACTCTACGACACCTATTTATGACCTTGCAGCCTGCAGGACAGTTTAAAAATTTTCTATGGTGCTGTTGTCAGAATGTCATTCTGCCTGACTGTACATGATTCTGTCCTATGAACACAGTGTATCTTACTTTTGTGAGCAGCCAGTTAATTCTGCTGAAAAAAGGTACTATTTACATTCATTCAAAACCTTGTTACTCAATTCCATCCATTGTCTTTACTGGAATTTCTATTTACCTGTTGGTTGATTTAATAACTTGTATTCCCATGATCTGCTTACCCCTTCTAATTCAGTATCCCTCTTTCAGTATTCCAGTTCTAATTTACTGTATTTTGACTGTATATTCTTATGAAAGATCATTTGATAATTTGTTTGCATCTTAATCTTAAAAAGTAACTAAAATTACAAAAAAACTTCAATTATTATTGCATATTTATTTGTTTAAGATACCCTTTTAATGGTTTCATTTTTAAATACAGTGTGCATAAATATAGTATCTATAAATACAGTATATGACAGTAAATGTTCAAGCCTTTATAAAAATTAGGAATATGTATAGAAATGAGAATTTGGTGCATTTTACCCACCTCTTGCAGATAGGAATTAGAGATAATGATAATAAAATATTATGGGACAAAGTTTGTTATTCAACTGATGTTCTATAATTTATTAATTTGTCTGCCCAAATTAGGTGTTTGCTGTGGATGCAGATTCAGGTGAAAATGGCACAGTTTCTTATCGCTTTCATAGTTCATCATTACCAGATACAATGGATGCTTTCTCTGTTAACTCAAGGACTGGAGAAATAACTTTGAGAAGAAATGCACGGGATTTGGGTAAGATCTCTGTATTTTTATATGGCTATATTCAGTTTCTTTATAATAGGGTGAACACTAAGAAAATTTACAAAAGTCCTTCCAAAATTTACCTTGTGAAGAGTGCAAAGGCTTATATTGTTGTAACATTAATTACAGTATCAGATTAACAATGAAGAACAACAAATATCCCATCTGTGAATGCCATCAAAGAGAAAAACTAATTGATATTCCTTATTCACACTGATAAATTCTTTGACCACAAGGCCTATATTTAAAATACAATATAAAGAAATGAAGAAAATATTTATTAAATATACAAAAATAACAACTTTTCAGTTTTTTTTTTAGATCTACAATACGTGAGGAAAATGTAGTCTACAGTTGTATTGAACATTCTCCATATTGTTTCTAAATTTCATGTTTTTAAATTTTAGTTTTGAAAGGAAAAATATGTATTTTGAATAAAGAGGACATGTTTTTCATATTAAGAGTTTATTAGTTTTGCTTAGACCTACAAAACACTCTTTTTCTGTTTTTGGGATATGCTTCTGAAATGTCTGAAACTACCCTTCAAATTTTATGTAGAAAAAATTTACACGCCCTCATTTAAATATTAATACTGTATTGTACTGTACCTCAAAGGTTTACTAACAGAGCTTTAAAGCTGAAAGCCAAACTACCCAAGAAATTTAGGTATTGCATAAGAGATATGCCTGCAAGATTTGTTTTTACAGAGATTTGTTAATGTGTCCAAAATTTACAGGCTCTTCCCTACCAGTATATCATGACGAGAACATTTAAAAAGAGTCTATGTTGTTCTTATGTAGACTATCACCCTACTTTGATTAGCCTGATCCTGTGTTCAATGGGACCAGAAAGAATCTTGCTTTAGAACTCAACATAACATGTAGTAAGATTTAAGTAAATATGATCGAACACCTGTGGGTTTCTGGAGGAGTCCCCGAGATGAATTCCCACTGCTGAGTTACATTAGTTATAGTACTCCTTCTTTTTTAATCTTTTAGCCATTACAATAATTACATCCAGATTTATATATAATTTTGTGCTTCTGTTTTATTAATACAGGAAGCTCAGTCTTTGAGTTCTTTATTGAGGGCAGAGATAATGGACGGCCAGCCCTGCATTCAAATGTGGCAGTCCTATTGCGCATTGTGGATGTAGATGTTAGACCCCCAGAGTTTCTGTCCCGGATTTATACTCTCACAGTCTCTGAAGATACACTGCCAGGTTGGTAATCATGTTGTATTGAGTTTAAACCATTTTAATCTAGTTAACCTTAGCAATAAATGTAATATATAAAATACTTATTATATTGCATTTACTTCAAATAGATGTATAAAATAATTTCTTATGTATTTTCTTAAAGATAATTATCTTGATGCTAATAACCTCAGAGCTGAAATACCTAAAAATGAATGAGGGTGCAGCAAATAATTTGTTTAATGTAATTATTGTAATTCCAGGCACTCACATTGGGTCAGTGGGGGCACGTTATGATGGCGAGTTAGAATATACAGTCGAGTGGGGTGGTCACAAAGCGTCTCCCCCAGTGTCAGTCTCGTCAGAGGGTACACTGACCCTCACATCTTTGCTTGACCATGAAGACATTCGGCGACTGTCACTTATAGTCACTGCAATGCCTGTTGACAAGCCAGAGCTGGCATCAAGTACAAATGTGGTTATTGAAGTGAGCTACTGTTTATTGTTAATTACATATATTTCAAATATATATTTCTATACAGTATATAGAAATATATATTTGAATTTTCTCTTTTAATATTTTTTAGTCTAATCTGTTAGGGTATAAATGTTGCTAGAGCAATGAAAGTAATGGTTGATGCAGTGAAAGTCATGGTCAGTACAATTAAATTTGTAGTTAGGAAGAAGGCCCTAGTTGGCGCATTGAAATTTGAGGCCAGTGCATTGAAAAAGCCTTGTTAGTGAGAAGTCATATTGTATATATGACACATAGTACGTATAGAATTTCATGTAGTAATATGAAGAAGTGCAGCAAGAGCAATATGAAGGAGTAGATGTGCTTACCCTTATGTAAGGCAATGAAACACTGTTGAGCTTAGAATGGAAATGAAATTATCAGGAGAAAGCGCTGAGCAATTATGACTACACAGGTATAGCACTTGAAAGGGATCAGAATAAGGATTTGGGATGGGGACCTTACCTTGGTTACCTTGAGATGGTTTCAGGGCCTAGCGTCCCTCGGCCTGGTCCTCGACCGGGTCTCCTTGTTGCTGGACTGGTCAACCAGACTGTTGGACACAGCTGCTTGCAGCCTGATGTAAGAGTCACAGCCTGGTTGATCAGGTATTCTTTGGAGGTGCTTATTAAGTTCTCTCTTGAACACTGTGAGCAGTCGGCCAATTATGCCCCTTATGTGTAGTGGAAAAGTGTTGAACAGGACAGGGAAAATGAATGGTACCCAACCACTTGGACTGTTGGGGATTGAACTGCAACCTGCGGGGAGGCATGACTCTTGATCTACCATCCAGCTCAAGTGGTTGGGCATGAGCTTGAAAGTGTATTGATTTCAGGAGGTGCTTCTTTCAGATACAGTAGTAATATGATGGGTCTTTGTCTGTAGCAGAGGTCAGCATAAGGGAGCATTTGAACAAGTATTACACCTGGGAACAGAATTCTGGGATAGAGGCCTCTAATTTTACTTTACTATTAGTTTTTGTGTTAGATGTATTGGAAGTCAAAAATAACTTTCAACTTAATTAGTTCCAACATTTCCAACTTTTTATAATTCTCCATTATGTACACATTTTGTGCTCGTTTGTCTTGTCATATCCTCATTATATATAATTATTTGGTGGAGAGCAGAACACAAATATTTAAGGAAAAATTTTGGATTTTTCAAATTGACCAAAAATTGTATGATTTTCTTTCTTTAGGTTCAAGATATAAACGATGAATCCCCTACATTTGAAAGTGAGAAATACTATGTGTCTGTAGCAGAAAACACACCCTCAGGATCAAATGTTGTTAAAGGTATGTGTCAATATTATCAGTAGATAATATTAATAATACATGTTTATGTTAGTAATGCTTAGTATGTTAGTTATGCTTAATAATGCTTTATTTTTCCTTGAATTAAAAAGCATATTATACTAGCAAGGTATTTTTAGATGGTTTAATTACCTACCATTTCCATGAATGCTCATATAATGAAGTACTTTTAGTGTATGAATTTATTGGTTACAGACTTTTGCTGTGTGGTCTTCTGTCAGAAAATGTTATAATTTAGATTGCTGGATTGCTGGTACTTCATTAGACACAAGCAAAATGAACCAAACTGTTTTAACACTTTCGCGCTCTCGGCGCTCAAAAAAAATCAATACCCTAGATGCTTTCGGCACTTCGCGCCCCTACGCGTAAGACCGAAAAAGTGTACACTCTTTTGACTGTCCTGACAATAATTGAAGGCGCACGTATTTAAATTTGGTATCACTGTGTTCGCAATGAAATTGTCTATAAGAGCATACCTATAAAATGCCGCCCAAGCATAAGGAGTATCAACACCAAATAAAAAACTATGCAGATCACTCGCCGAGAGCGCCAAACAGCAACAAAATGTTTCCACTCTCTTAATGGTTGCGAAGCCTACAGTTGTCCTACATCGCTAATTTTGGTATCATTGGAATCGCAATAAAATTCTCTACACGGACATATGCATATGAATGTTTAATATAGGTAATTGCCCACCCGCAAGAGTGTGGGAAGTGGAGAGTAGTTAGCCGCGAGCGCACTGGCGAAAACACAGGGGGGAAATCATGCTTGGAAAGTTTATACATTTATACGTTTCCTGACCGTACTTTTCTATGTACGTATTTCTTTTTTATACCAATGTGTTCGCAATAAAATTTTCTATAAGATGAAATGTATAACATTTGTACAAAGCATGTGTAAGAGAAGCGCCAAATATAGAACCACGTCGCTCAGTATGCGTTCACGGCAGAAACGAACGCATTGTTTTCGTTCGTTTGATGTTTCTCATGTTTATACTTGTTGAAACATTTTATAATTTGTATGACAGTGATCGCAGTAAAATTCCCTACACAGACATATACATAACACATACAAATATTTCCCACGTGTTGGATATATCAACGGCTAAAGGGAACCCACTGCCACACGACCGCCACACCCAGAGCCACACCCTCCACACCCCCAAACATACTTTGTGTTTTTTTTTTTACTCATAGAAGTTTATGTGATATAATATTCATTCTGGTACCAAAAAATTCGCAAATAAATTCTCTACAAAACGTATATAATACAACTTCTTATAGATGATAAAAAATTCCAAATAGGTGTACTTACCCTGTCTATGTTGATTGAAGATCAACAGTTGAGCATTTTTTCTTCACTCTACCATCTTCAGGCTTCTGATCCTGAAGTTGCTCATCTGATGTTTCTTAGGTGGAGTGAAGCTGTTGCCGGTGGTTATTTTTTCTCCACCCAAAATATCTTTCTTCGGTGGTACCTTGTGTAGCAAGGCGCAGCGCACAGTGCCACATCACAAGTTTTACATCCATATATCACGTCCCTCCTTTTGCCAGACTTGTAACAAACACGGCATCTTTTTTTTTTAGCCAAGTGCACGAGTTCATGCGTCAACTTGTAGTTGAGACGTTGTTCTGAATCTATAATTCTTGTATTTTTTGGATTCACTGGAAGAATATTGTCTTCTACAGGAACCACCAAACTTGTAGTAGAATCTTCTATGAAATCAGAAACATCAAGTGGTTCTATGTCCTCAATGTCCATTTCAGTATTTGTGGTTGATGAGTGGGCTTTAGGTGTTGAGGTGAACAGAGGACGCCTAGCACCAGATGGCCCGGGTGTTGAAACTGCCGCGTCAGCAGGAGGAGCTGCGCTGGCATCTATGTCGGGAACATGTGGTATACTTGTTGTTGTTGGCCATTCCTTGCTGTTCCACGCCAATAAGGCTTTTATTCCTACTGCGTGAAACTCTAATAGTGTTAGTTTTTTTGTATCTGTTGAGTAGTGGTTATACAATGCATATGCATTGTGCATGGCCATTTGCAGAAAATAGAAAGTGATCTTCTTGGTCCATTTGTGGGTTTTTCTTGCAAACTCATAATATTTGACCATTTGATCAAAATGATCAACACCTTTCATGAACTTATTGTAATCCACTATGGCCTTGGGTTTGTTCATTTTCACAATTTCTACTCCAGTTCTCCCGTCACCTTTACGAACGCGTTTCCTGCGCTGTGCGTGAGTAGTGTCGGCATTGTGGATATTGGTGATGACAGAGACGGGGTGCTTGTCCTTCCAAACTATAACAAAGGTGTTATCCTTACGCATGTATACGGTCGTGTCGGTTGCCATTTTACCCTTTACAACTTGTTGCAGATCCTTGGGGGCGCCACGTTGTAGTCTAAGTGTGCCACATGTGTAAACATGTGGAAGAACTTAGAAATGTGTTGGAACCGAGCAGACGACATAAACAAGTTGAAGAATCGACAATGCCACATCTGATTCGTCTGCCAGTACATCCTCATTGTAGGCATCTTCACTATGCCCATCAGTATGCACAGGGCCAAATATCGGGCCATTTCTTTCACCGACACTGGTTTCCACGTTTTTCTTGCTGACTCAGCCATGAGATGTATGACGTGTGTGGCATGCAAATTTGTTTCATACTCTAAGTATTCAACCACTGCTCTAGTGAAAAATAATTGTAAAAACTGCAATGGAGTAGCAGGTAGTGGAATTGTTAGGCCAGGGGTTGCAGTAAAGTTATCAACGATGGGAGGAGTATTGCTACGATTCCACTCATCACCCAGCCTAGCCCTCTTTGGTACCGGACACGTGCGGTCACCGCGTGGCGGGGCTGGGGCTTCTTCATCACTCTCATCCTCACTCTCACTCGAAATATCTTCATCACTTGAGGAAACCTCATAAAGAACATCATTTTCCGGTTCGTCAGCCTCCAAATCATCATCAGAAGACCCTGAAAAGGCTTCAACAACGTCGGGAATCTTGGATGTAGTGAGATTGACCCCACGATACAGATCGAAAATCCTGGCGATCTCTTCTGCTTTCCTAGATTTCCTACCTTTGTTTTGCGTTCCACTGCTTGTTCCTGGTGCAGCATCCATGTTGAAGGTATTGAATGGGTTTTAGGTACACGAGAACGGAAACGGAACGGAAATAAATGCGTAAAACGGGTCACGTTTGCCGCGAGAGGGGAGCACAGTGTGGGCACTTGGCGTGTCAACAAAACAATGGGCCGACCACGTGACTGGGTAGGCCGAGATGCCATGTGTTCGGTGAGGGAGAACGGGAATTTCATGGAGAACAATCTGAGAGTATCCCCATCCATTTCGGTTAAAAAATGGAATTTATAGAAATATTTTTTCGATTGGCGAGAAAAGTAGGCAGTTATGCGGAATCGTAAGAAAAACCAGTGACGAGTTATCTCTACTCGAAAGCGCGAAAGTGTTAATAAGTATAATCTTATGAAACATATAAAGGAATATTAAACTTCATTAGTGTTAAATATTCATTGCTTTTTTGTTTCAGACTGTTTTTTAAAATTAATATGTTCTAACACATTGTACAAGTTTTCTTATAAATCAAATAATCTTTTTCTGTATTCTAAAGTATCAAAATCAAAAGCATTGTGATGAAAGCAAGTCATAAGTAGACATTATTGCATTATATATATTCTTTTATTTACAATATTAAGGTGGTTGAAGTTGCTCCTATTCCCCTACCCCACCCCTAAAACAAAGAGAGAATATTTCTCTAGGTTTCCACCCTAGCTATGCAATTTGAGAGTTTCCTTTAATAATAATGTCTTTGTATTACAAGATTTAACATTTTAAGATTGAATATATCATTATTAACTTTATATAGATTTTTCATATATATATTTTTTCTGATGTTCTCACACTATTTAACTTACCTGCTTGATACACATGGGTCATTTTGCATCAACACCAATACAGTTTCACAAACAAGTCTCACATTTTATGCTTGCTTTCATTATAAAGGTGTTTTGGCTTCAGAACACAAGAATAATGGCCGATTGGCTCATATGGGGCAGCTTCTATTCATATATACACACTCGTTTATACTATACATGTATGTCAAATCTACACTTGAAACAAATAAGCAATACTATGTCTACCATTTTACATGGTAATTTGCTATATACTAAATATGTATATATATCAAAAACCTTGTTTCAATCTAGTATTCAACTAGGTCTTTCCTGTATCTAAACTTACACAGAAACTGTCTGAGATTCTCAAAGTTGGTAGGAAGTGCTCACACATTTCTAAGAGAATTTGACTTGTGTTTACCCTGAAAACCACTTTCTAATGTACAGTACTGAAAAGAGAAAATACAAGTATTAGTATCAATGGATAACTTCAGTAAAGACAACACTAATTTTTGGGATTAAATATATTCATTTAATGTGAGCTGCAACTATTTGATATGGCAAGGAAATTTTTAAAAATATTTTGTATTGTGTTTTTCCATATTTAAATCTAAAATTTCCGAAGAAAAAGTTCTGGATATATTTCTCTAATTTCTGTATCTACTGTATATACAGAATACAAAATTGTGCAATGTGATAATGGTTTAGTTTTTGGTTTAGCTTTGACTCTTGTTGATTAACAAATAGTTTAACATAAGAAAATTCTGGTTAAACTAAATATATTTTCAGGCATTTTTTAAAAAATAATTCGTCCTTTTAGAATAAATTTCAACTCTTGGACAGACTTTTAATCTTTAGCTTTTTTTCTTAAATCTTCCGTAAAACAGTTTCTGATTTGATTATATAGTAATTTTTCTGTTTTGAGTAAGTGATGTTAAACCTTGAATACTCTTTAAAGTGATTACATGTACAAAGTAAGGAAAATAGTTCATTAGCTCATTTTAACACTTTGGCATCCTGATGATGCATTATGCGGCATAAAACACACAGAGTGGGAGATGATGCAAATGGCATCAAGCATAAAATTTTGCATAGTCTTAATATTAAGTACAGTACAGTTTAAACATTGTGTTTGGAAGAGTTTAACATTGGGTTGTGTGCTCACTGGGAATGCTCGGCCTACCTTCCGGTGCGATTGGCATGCCCGGCGGGGAACCCAAAAGTGTTAACATTCCTCTCTTACATCAAATGAATGTTTCATTATTTCATGTTTGTCTATGATTTATTATTAAAAACTGGTTTGAAAATCCTGCAGTGTTTGCTAATGACCGGGATGCAGGGAGCAACTCTGAAATCCGTTACATACTGGAAGAACAGTCACCGCTTGTAGAGGAACCGCTCTTCACCCTTGACCCTTATTCAGGCTGGCTCTCCCTCAATCAAGAGCTGGATGCTGAGACTAAATCAAAATATGAGCTAAAGGTGAGGAGTAGCCATATAAATATCCTTGTTAGGATACAAATTATACTCTTACAAGTGGATAAATAAATCTAGTGTTGTGTGAGATGCCTTGCTTGTTGATTATTGTCTTGTAAATAAAGAGTAATGTGGCCTTTGTTATACTGATAACTTAATAATGTAAATTAATTGTAAGAGACATTACTTTTCCAAGTGTAGTGGATAAAGTATATGGCAGAATAGTAATTGCTTGAGCACAGAAAATTGCCAATTAATGATTTTGTGATAAATAATATGGGCTCCGTAGTGGAAGGTGATGATGTAAAATTTTATACAGTAATTGGAATAAGATGTATTCAAGAGAAGGCATGTGAGAAAGAGTAATGTGTATATGGCCTCTATGAATTTGGAAAATAATAAGTTATTAATAATAATAATGAAGTTAATAATGAAGTTATTATAATAATAATAATAATAATAATAATAATAATAATAATAATGAAGTTATTATGGAGAGTGATGTTCATGTATGGATTTGGCGGAGTTTTGTTAAATGCTGTGAAAATGTATGTGTAGGAAGCAGTGCATGAATAAGATTTAGTGGTGTAATAAGTGATTGGTTGTATATTATTTTAAGTGTATTCGATGCTACAAGGCATATATAATTATAAGAAATGAATGTATGAAGCATATTACAAATTTTTTTTTTTTTATTCAGGTTCTTGCCAGAGACAATGGTAGTCCACAAAAAAACTCCACAACAAGCATAATAATTGAGGTTATTGATTATAATGACAATGCTCCACAATTTGTTAAGAAGAACTACCATGCCTCAGGTTAGTATTACGAGTATTGTAAACAATGGTTATTATATTGATTTTGTAATTTTGTTTATATTCATAAGTTTTAAGTGCAGTTTTGCAGGCAGTTATTTAAAGTATTTGTAGTTTGTATACAAGTAAAATATTGGTTTGTTTTACTCAAAATCCAATGGCTATATTGTATTGAATTTTTTTTTTTTTCAGTCAAGGAAGATGCTCTCCCTGGAACTGTTGTAGCACAACTGGAAGTTATTGACATTGATCTAGGAGGAGGAGCCTTGGATGGGGAAGTAGGCCAAGGCATAGTGTATTACCTCACTTCTGGCAATGCCCTTCAACACTTTCATGTTCGAGGAGGAGGACAGATATATGTTGCTAAAGCCCTTGATCGGGAGTCTGTAGATCATTATGCTTTAGAAGTTACTGCAACTGACGGTGTCTTTGTGGCAAAGTCTTGGGTCTTCATTGAGGTTTTAGATGTTAATGGTAGGTGTTTGTTTGTTTGTTGCTAGTAAATTCAAATTATTATGGCTATTGTAATTTTATTAGCAATAAAAATAATTTTGAATGTATTTCCACAAATTTTCTCTAAAAAGTCTTTCTCCTAGTAGAAATCTTGTTATAGATGAAGATGTACTGGTGACAATCTTATATTCCAATAATGGATTTTTCCTGTTTAACCTTATCTGTGGCACGGATGTTTCAGTTCAATATTTATTCTTTTGTATTCATCACGGCTCCCTCAGGTCTCTAAAAGCTATTTTTTTTTCTTCTTGTCAATTCTCTTTATTTACCCTTAAAATTTTAACTCAAGATTTATGACTTATTCCAGTTAGTTTAATATTTTATTTATGGTATGTGTTTTAGAACAGTGCATCAATTGACATAATCTAAATAAAAAGGTAATCAGTTGAGTTTCAACATTTTGTAAGAAAAAAAAATTACTGTTTAACAGATAGCTTGTATTTCTAATTTATCTCATAACTATCTTAAAAGTATTGTACAAAAAACTATAATTCTACATTTCAGATAATGGCCCTCTGTGCACCACCCCGTTGTACCGTCACACCATAAGCGAAGGTGCCTTAGGTGGAACACCATTACTCCGAATATCGGCCACTGACCGTGACCTTTTACCCAAACCTCAGTTCTATCTTACTGGTCAAGGTGCAGGAATGTTTTCCATAGATGTTGATTCGGGGCAGCTTAGTATATCAAAACCTTTAGATCGTGAGAGACAGTCACATTTTTCACTCAAAGCTACTGTGAAGGATGGAGGAAATTTGGAATGGGAATGCACTTGTCAGGTGGAAATAGAAGTTACTGATGTAAATGACAATTCACCCATTTTCAGTATGCCCAGCTACAGTATCAATGTACCTGAAAATTCTCCTGAGAACTTACTGCTACTGAAAGTTCATGCATCTGACCCTGATAAAGGTAAAGTAAACTTGTATGGTTTTGTCTTGACACATTAACTGTATATACACTTATACATATTTTGTATTTCATTATAATGGCTACTGTAAAAGTAAAATATAACTTTGTCTCTTAACATTTAATACAGTTACTATGCTTACATTCTTTCAGGAATAAATCGGAAAGTAACCTACGCTTTAGAGGGAAATGATATATTTGTGATCGACCGGCAAACTGGAATAGTGAGCGTAACTGAAACACTGGACAGAGAAAGTCGTGCCATGTATAATCTGACACTCATTGCTACTGATCATGGGTCTCCACAACTATCATCAAGAACAAACATTCTTGTACTTGTCTCGGGTGAGTTGAGACGAGTTGATTTACAGTTAAATATCTGGAGTTCATTGAATGTACAGAACTCAATCTCTTTGATGAGCTATTTTCACATTATATTTATTTTTTATACTGTATAATGATTTTTCCTGGTTATGCCATAATTTTTTCTTTTCTGTATTATCAAAGATATTTTTAGTGTTTATTGATGTGCTTTTTTTATATATTTCAGATGTAAATGATAACCCACCCGAATTTGCCAGCCATACTTACTTTACAACAGTGACTGAGAGTGCAAATATTGGATCAGATATTGTGCGAGTGTTAGCCACCTCCAGAGACTCTGGAAAGAATGCAGAAATCACTTATTCAATCATAGGTGGCAATGAACATCGCAAGTTTGCCATTCATCCAAAGACAGGTATGAATAATTTTTTGGTTAAATTTAATGCAATGGTGACAAGTGAAATTATTATTTAATTCATACTAATGTAGTAATGCAGTACCATACTAATACACATCAAATATCTGTTTTGCATTTATCTGTCGACAATTTTGAGAGGTCTTTTTCCACAGCATGCTTTGTGGCCAGCCTTCTCTAGCAATTGCTTGGTCTGCGAGGCTGTTAGTTCTTGTAGCCCAAAGGCCCACATAGCCATCACACCCAGGCTGGCATTAACACAAATATTATTTGTATTTTTATAACATGAGACTTCACTCCCTTTATTTATGCTTAATGACAAATAAAATTAGAAGTGGAGTACTGAATATTTTGTAAAACAGAATGAAGGTCCTTCTCATTCAGTCTTCAGTGACAAATTTATTAATAAATATGTATCTGTAGAGATAGTATATTTTGGTGGTGAAAATCGTGTTCTTTGTCATGTGTATGAATTTTTGCTGAAGAACAATTTGTCTGTGTTATATACAGTATAACAGAGGCCTTGGATCTGAGGCCCTCACCTGCCTGGAACCCAGAAAGCAAAGACTGGTTCATATGGCCATGTTGAATGTGAGTGAAATAAATAAATCACAGAAAAATCTGGAAGTGGCAAAATTGTTTAAGGATTGAAAGTCTGATGTACCAGGTTTATGCGAGACAAAATGAAAATGAAATTATAAATTAGTCGCATGAAGTAACTGTTACAAAAATTGCAGTAATAGAAAATGAAAAGTACTGAAGGTATTTGCTTGTTAATGAATGCAATGTGTTGCAGGCGATGAGTCACAATAACGTGACTGAAGTATGTTGACCAGACCACACACTAGAAGTTGAAGGGACGACGACGTTTCGATCCGTCCTGGACCATTCTCAAGTTGATTGTCACAATGGACTTGAGAATGGTCCAGGACGGATCGAAACGTCGTCATCCCTTCAACTTCTAGTGTGTGGTCTGGTCAAATGCAATGTGTTATTAGTGTAATATATAAAATCTCTTATTGCCATTAAGATGCTTGAGTATGAAATTTAAGTTCAAAAATCTAAAAGTGACATGTAATTGTATATGCACAGTACTTGTCTAATTGTGCTTGTGGAGGGTGAGATTTTGCTCTTTTGTCCCACCTCTCAATTTTCAATCCCAAGTCTATTGGGCTCTATTGTATCCATATTTGAAACTGTGTATGAAGTCTGTTTTCACGACCTCACTTCTTGGTGCAGTCTATTTCTTTACTGCACTGACACTGAACAAATTCTTTCTAATGTGTCAGTGTCTCATTTGGGTGCTCAGCTTTCACATGTCACCTTGTCAAGCCTGGCCCTATGCAAGACTTGGAGAGTAGAAGAAGTATGAGAACCCACTCCAGGTACAATCCAGTTACCACATTTAATAAACTGTCCTTGACTGCCCTATCAATTCTACTAATAACTTTGTATGTCACAATCATGTTTTCTCTGTCTCTTCTACCTTTCAGTGATGTGGGTTAAATTCCTGAAGTTTTTCCTTTTAAGTTATGCCTCTTAGTTCTGGGACTAGTCTGATGGCATATATCTAAACTGTCTCAAAGTTTGTCTTGTATTTGACTAGATAAGAACTCTACAGTGGGGCTGCACATTCCTAAGATTTTCAAGGACGGTTCTTATGTCTGCTAACATAAGGACCTCCTTTACATTTGAATAATTATAAATTGTTGAGAACCTTGTACCCATATTACAACATATGGCAGACCAATCTTGGAATATACATCTCCAGAGTGGAGTTCTCATCTAGTTAAGCACCAGATGAAGTTCAGTAAATACATATTTGGCTTACCATACCATAGCTATACTCTTTACCTGAAATATAATTTTTAATTAAATTGAATTTGTGTTTTAAAAAGATATCTTTTATTTCCAGGCATAGTATCAATCCTGGATCCACTGGATTACGAAAGGGCACACACTTACCAGTTAACAGTTCAGGCAACAGATGGGGGTGAGCCGCCCCTCTCTAATCATGCAACTATCAATGTCACTGTTACTGATATCAATGATAATGAGCCAATATTCTTACAAAATTCCTATTCTGTGATTGTTAATGAAGCTGCTATCATCGGAGAGCGATTAATACAGGTAAAGTGGACACACACACACGCACACACCTTTGCCTTTGCTAGGAAAATAATAAACAATAGTATTAATGACTGAAAATATCTTAGTTCTAGAAGAAAACTTGATAATTTTAATTTCTTAGCAATAACAAGTGTATCAACCACATTAACTTTGATAATATCTTTGATGTAGATGATTTGCATCTCCTAAAATTACTCTTGTTGATAATTACAGTGACACTACTTATTGAGACTTCCTTATGGGTCATCTAGAAATTTATTTTAAAATGTTGACTTTTATGAGTAGAGTACAGTACTATTAACCAAAATTGGCTTCCTACATAACAACTGAAACTTGGTGAGAAGCTAAGTGTGCAGGTGATGAGTCACAATAACATGGCTAAAGTATGTTGACCAGACCACACACTAGAAGGTGAAGGGATGATGACGTTTCGGCCCGTCCTGGACCATTCACAATCGACTTGAGAATGGTCCAAGATGGACCAAAACGTCGTCGTCCCTTCACCTTCTAGTGTGTGGTCTGGTCAACAAGCTAAGTGTGTTTCAGAATTTATTAAAATTTTATGACTTGTCACTAAAGCATATTTATACAATGGTATTGTACAATTCAAAACTGGGGATGTCATTCCCTACTACACACACAATTTTTGGTAAAAGCTACTCTACAGAAATAGGAGTGCATGTTCCTGTATTTTGAAAATATAATGGGTAATGGGAATTTGAGCTACATATTGAGCTACATATTAGGGTTACATTTATTAATCTATATATACTGGAAAACTATAAACTGTACTTGGATAACATTTGTTTTCATTACGAGAATTAATATTGTTTAATATAAGGTTCTGTCCTTTATAGGTAATAGCAACTGATTTGGACAGCCTGGCAAATGGCAGAATTACTTATGGCATTGCAAATGGAGATCCTAATCATCAGTTTCGTATTGATCAGTTGTCTGGCTGGGTATCAGTGGCAGGTCCTCTAGATAGGGAGTCAGTTGGTTCATATAACCTCGAAGTAATTGCTCTGGATCAAGGAATTCCTCAGAGATCAGGGTCAGTCATGGTGAATATTGAAGTAAGTGATGCCAATGATAATCCGCCTGTGTTTGTAGAAACAAACCACACAGCATATGTTCAGGTAAGAAAATTGGATTTTATTACATAATAAAATGAAGTGAATTGTGGAAGACATATTTGAAATAAGATGTAAATATATGACATATATGAGGACTAGTTATACTTAGTGCACTAGATGCTGTGTGTTTATGTTCTTGCCTCACTTTGATACACTGTATTAACCTAGATGTGCTTGCAGGGTAAAGTGTCAGCTTGAGAATACTACCCTTTGAATCATTTGTGTTGTAGTTTTTGCAATGACTATTCTTTAATTTTTCTTACCATATTTACATTTATAATTATGTACTGAGAGAGCTTCAAGAACTTCATCATCTAATCCATTCAATTTACAGTATTAATAACATATGCTCAATAAGTTCTTCCCAAAATCTCTCTACTTGATGGTACTGTATTTGTTTCTCCAATTTCCGTCTGTGCTAACCTAACTGTGTTTATTTTACGATGATTACTGGGAAGTGAAGCGAGTTCTTTATATTCTATTACTTGCCTTGTTGTACCTGTTGCCCTTGATTTTAACTTTACTAATATTTAAAGATTTTGTCATATCTGTTCTTAATATTGTGGATGAAGGTGACTTCTATGACTTGCTGACCACACCCATACAGGGTGGGGAAGGAAAGAGGGGCAGGGAGAAGGAAGAGCATGTTAGGGAGGGTTATCTTGAGATGATTTCGGGGCTTTAGTGTCCCCGCGGCCCGGTCCTCAACCAGGCCTCCACCCCCAGGAAGCAGCCCGTGCAGCTTACCCAGGTACCTATTTTACTGCTAGGTAACAGGGGCATAGGGTGAAAGAAACTCTGCCCATTGTTTCTCGCCGGCGCCCAGGATCGAACCCGGGACCACAGGATCACAAGTCCAGCGTGCTGTCCACTCGGCCGACCGGCTCCCTAATTAATTACCTGAGCATTGTTACAGGTTGAGAGTTATGCTCCTGGTGTCCTGTCTTCCTTATACTCTTTTTCACACACTCTTTTGAAACTTCTGATGGTTTTGGCATTCACTACCCTCTCATTCTATTTAATTTCATTATACTTTAATCTTGGTGTTTCATTTCAAGTGCTACTTGAAAATGTTAAAGTAAAATAGAACTCAAAACACTGTACATAAAGTGGAGACGTTTTGATTCGATTAACACCTGGGTAAATAATAGTTTGGAAAAAGGGTTGTTAATTTGACAAGTTATCGGATAACAATAGTTATGGGATGACAGCTATGGGATTTATTTGTTATTCTGGACTAATTAAGAATACTACAGTATTTCCCTTCCTTCATGTTTGGCCTGGCAGAGTCATTTGCATAGATTATAGCTGACTGAAAGATGTTAAGGCTGCACTTGCTCAAGCTTTTCATGCTGTGACTTGGTAAATGGAAATTTGCGTAAGGGAGTGAATGGGAAACAGCTTACAAATAGGCATTTCATTATACTAATCTGCTATGCTGTTATGTCTGCCCTGATGTGTCTTTTCTCCAGCGTGGTGAGGTGCAATTCTCTTTTTCATAGTCTTCATAGCTTCTAAACCAGATTTGTTGCACATCACTTTTTTTTTTTTTTTTTTTTTTTTTTTATGAATTCTTATCTTATTTTGAATAACGCTTTCAGGAGGACAAACCAGTTAACCATCTGGTGTTTAAATTTGATGTCATTGATGGTGATGATGATGAAGCCCACAATGGTGGTCCATTCACTTTTGAAATAAGATCCGGTAATGACAACACAGCTTTTCGCATCACTCAAGATGGACACTTGCGGACTGCTACCAAGTTTAATCACAAAGTACAAGGACATTACCGCCTTCAAATCAGAGTGTATGATAATGGCCGTCCACCTCTTTACTCAGAAACCTGGATTGATGTTAAGGTTTGTGTTTTTCACTGTTTCTCTTTTGGTTTCATTGCCTATTGCTGTAAAGAAGTATAAAGATTTTTTATAAATCTTTTGCAGTATTAGCCAAGAATGTATAGATTAATATAAAGCTTTAGTTAGTACTGGAATTTATTCTGAGCACCTTTTCATTTATGTTTCAGATTATCGAGGAATCTCGGTATCATCCAGTTGTGTTCCCACTGCATGTTACAGTGTTTGTACACACTGGGGAATACTTTGGAGGAATTCTTGGAAAAGTTAAAGCTGCAGACGAAGATCCGTATGATACTCTGACATACTCAATCATGCCCGACCCCTTGGGTGTTAATACAAGGTATTTTGACATTAACCCACGAGATGGTACATTATCTGCCCAAGGTGGTTTGGATGAAGGTTCGTACTCTGTGAATATCTCGGTAACTGATGGGAAGTTTACAACTTTCAGTGAAGCTGAAGCTGATGTCGTTGATATAAGTGATGATATGGTGAATAGTGCAGTTATTGTTCAGCTTGCTGGTGCGACTCCAGAGGAATTCTTGCTATCATACAGACGTAATTTTCACAGAGGTGTAAAGAATCTTCTTAATGCCAAATCTCGTGATGTCATCATTCTAAGTTTGCAAAACAGCAATGTAAGAGTGCGAAGAGATAATAAAAAGAAATCAGTTGGAAAATCTGTGTTTGAAGAAGGTGATTTAGAGGTACTTTTTGTTGTTAGAAAATCTTCTGGTGATTATTATCCAAGAAATTTTGTTAGAAAAAAGATTTTATCAGGCCGTCAAACTTTGGAATCAGTCCTTGGACTTCGTGTAATTGGAGTGCTAGAGGATGAGTGCACCGAAAATACTTGTGAAAATGGCCAGTGTGAGGAACGTATTGTACTTGATGATGAACAAGTTGCTATAACCACAGATACTATGAGCTTTGTTTCTCTACATCATAGACATGAAGCAAAGTGTATATGCCCTAATGGCTTTTCTGGTGCCCGATGTGACATTGTTATCAACCAGTGTGCACATAAACCTTGTCCATCATATAAGAAGTGCATTCCAGATAGTTCAAGACTAGGATACGTGTGTCTATGTCCCGAGGGATTGGTAGGTGCTACATGTACACAAAACAAGTCTAGTTGCATTGGCAAAGATAATAGTCCTGAATGCTACAGTCCAGTATCTCCCTTATCTTTCAAAGGGAAGAGCTACGCGCAATATTCCCTTCGGAACCCCATTGAACGCCACTTTTCCTTCTCTCTGTGGTTCCGGACACTCCATCCATCTGGGAACCTAATGTTTACAGCTGGCAGGATTGACTACAGCATCTTAGAGGTACTTTTGGTTTTTATTGTTTGGAAAATTTGAATTTCTTAGTTAATGCTTTCATTCTCCCAAATTTAATACATGTTGAATATTGTTTTTAAAAATTTTTGATTGAACCTGTAATATTTTAATTTCAGTTGGAGGGAGGAGAGTTACGTTATCGTTGGGACCTTGGTAGTGGTGAGGGAGTGGTAGCAGTTACATCGTTGCGAGTTGATGATGGGCAGTGGCATCATGTTAGCCTTGAGCGATTTGGTAACACAGCTGAAGTATCAGTTGATGGTCAACATCGTGGACAAGGAGCTTCGCCAGGATCATCAGACTTGCTCAATCTTGATACCCCACATTTATATCTAGGAGCAGAAGTAAGACCTTGGGCAGGAGCACAAGATCCACGCCAAGGACTTGTAGGATGTGTTGATGATCCCAGAGTTGATGATACACCTTTACCTCTGACTCATACAACTACTACCAAAGTGGCATCACTCACTCGACTGACACATGTAGCGCCACACTGTCAAGCAGCACTGCAACCTCCTGGTGTTTGTGGTGCCCATCCCTGTCTTAATGGTGGCACATGTGAAGAGCGAGGTGCATCTTTCATATGTCAGTGCCACCCACGATTTCAGGGTTCACGTTGCGAGTTAGACTCTAACCCATGTGCATCATCCCCTTGCTTAAATAATGGGCATTGCGTCAATGTCGAAAATGCTTATAGATGTGAATGCCCAGCCCGGGTGTCAGGTCCTCGTTGTCAATATATGTATTGTAATCCTAACCCCTGTCTCAACAGGGGAATATGTGAAGAGGGAATTTCGGGTCCAATTTGTAAGTGCAGAGGATTTACTGGTGCCTATTGCAATATTGATATCAACGAGTGTGCTAAGAACCCTTGCCACAACGGTGGAACTTGCATAAATTCTTATGGTAGTTTCCGCTGCATGTGTCCAGGAAATGCTACAGGAACTTACTGTGATTCATACAGAGGATCTTTCATTGACATTGGCATGGAAGAGGTAGGTTTCAAATTTTTTATACTCTATTTTGTTGTAACTCAATTGTATATATGCTTGCATTATTTGATAAACTAGTTAGAATTCAAGTACTCCTCCAGAAGATTTTTGTTTTCATTATTTATTTTTCTGAAAACTTTTTTTTTTCAGATCATCTATATAGTTATTGGCATTGTGGCTGTCATAATTTTAGGCCTTATAATTGTTCTCGCAATGCACTGTCGAGAAAGAAGAGCAGCACGGAGGCGGCAGCTAATTGAACAAACAAACCATGTTATCCTGAAACCCAAAAATACAGATAACCACAATATTTATAAACGAAATTCAAAGATGAGCAACTTGGAAGCTTCCCAGGTAAATATATGGACAGGTTTTAAGCACTTTATAAAGGAATTTTTTGCTGTGTGCTGATTGCGTGGTGTGTACTGATTGTGTGTGTGTGTGTGTGTGTGTATATGTGTGTGGTGTGTGCATTTGTTCTCATGATAAGGTGTACTCAGGTAAAATGACAACTAAGAATCTAGTTAAACAAAGTTTTAATGCACCTGTTTGTAATTTTGAAAGTTTGTAACAACTCTTGGTAAACATAAAGAGTATGAATACAGTACTCATATTTCTTATGCTTTTTGTATTATGGTAGAATTATGCAAACATCTTAAATCACATTTTCAAGTTTCAGTAGTAGTCATCACTTGCTAGATATTGCTTTTCATCACCGTAATGGCATATTAGCTCTTTTATTTGATAGAAGCTCTGCATGTGCCATAGGCTTGAATTATTTTCACATTCATACCAATAAGTTCTGGGACAATTTAATGTTTTTTTTATTTATAGTGTGGCCCAACTAACATTAAGGTAACTCATCAAAATGTAAGCATATAACATTCAGTGTGGTGTATCTATATAAACATTGTAACATACTGTACTTTATTACAAGCACTTCACTTGAAACATCTTTAACATTAATGCTTTTCATTGGCATGTAAAAATTTACCATATTTAGTTAACAAGTTAAAAAGTATGTATTTTGATGGCTTACCCTTCTTCCTGAGCAGCCCCAGTCAGGTTCTAAGTGTTGTGTTGGCTGTGCCTGACTGTTGTGTTGGCTTGTATGTGTTACAGAATCCGCACGGTTGCACGCCTCGCCCCGACTCCTACCCCACTAGTCCTAGCGAAACTGCGTACATGCCGCTAAACAACTTTGACACCATCCGTAGCTACGGCTCAGCTGGAGATGAGCTAGAAAACCTCCCTCAGTACCCTCGGGAGTTTGTCCAAAATATTTCCAAGTCCAACAGTCTCTATCACCACCACACACCCCAGATTAATCCCCTGGGAACCCCTCGGGGCTCCACATTGGGTTCTTTGGTGAGCTCTGCTTTGGGCTCTTCCATATGTTCCCCTGTCACTGCCACTCCTGCAGACACTGACAGTTTGCACAAGCCTTGGAAGGATGCACTTGCACATAATCTGAAGGACACCTACTATGAGAATAACAAGATTCAGAATGGTTTGTATTTATTTTTGTGTTTTTAGCAGATGGCTTTGGACTTTGTATAAATACAACACTGTATTTATTGAAACAAGTGACATGTATAATTTTTTCTAGTATTGCATAAAAATTTCATTAATTTTTTTTTAGTTTGTCAAGTATATTTCATACACATTGTAAAAACCATTAATGCTAGCTTTCAGATTATTATTAAAGAAATTATGCTCGATTCTCTTTTATTAATTATTTTTGTAATCCATTGTTGCGTTTTTATTTTTTACTTTTATTTTGTAGAACTTGTAATTATTTTTGTATTAAGTTTTTTTTTATGTTATTTATGTTGCAACAATCTGTCAATCACACAAGGCTACTGTCTTGTTCTTGGCAGATGTAAAGTTCCGTCAGGGTGAGTACTTGAGCCTCAAGAAGTTAAGTGTAGATGGCAGTACCAGGGATGATGCCAGTGTACGTTCAGGGACATCAGTGGATGATCTGCCAGGTGAGACAAATAAAGTTTTAAATGTCCCAGTTTTTTGTTTTTTGAGGAATTTTTGGCATGTGCTAACTCCAGTTGTTGATGTGCATTTTTCACATTTATTAAGTGTTTAGCTGCATAAGTTTTGTGTTTACTTGCATGATTTTGCTTGAGTTTGCATTACGTTTGAAGTCTGTAAGCACTTGCAGTGTTAATTCTAAAGGCATTTTTAAATATTGCTACCCATAAAATGTAAAACAATTAACTAAGATTCTTTCTCTGGGAAAATAACTGTGTAAGAAAGGTAACTTGTCATTATGGTACTGTATTGTGGAAGCCTGATAGGCTATGTTTTGGATCAGCAACTTGAGTATTAAGTCTGTAATAATAATAATACTCATCCTTATTCTCTTCTGCCTCTTCCTCGTCTTCCATCCTCCTTTCTTCTCCCTATATTCTTCTCACTCCTCCTTGATATGTTATAAGTCAGTATTAATAATCTAACTATACTTGAATTATTTCAGGTATTATATCTAGTCAATACTGTGGTTTAAAAATTTTTACACTTGACATTTAAATGATTGTTGGTAATTCATTATATCACTATAGTAAAGGGAATTGTGTGTCAAAATATAAAATAAGTATTATTGTGTAACTGTGCCATTTAAAATCTTGCATTAAATGGAGTTGTAATATACTGTATATGTATGTAATTATAAATGACTCATGACACAAACATGAAAAATTTAAAAATAAAAAAATTTAAAAATCACAAAACACTTAAGTGAAGCCCCAAAGGATCATATTTTTATTTTCTAAAATGCATTATGTTTGACCAGTAAAATTAAAGTTAGTTGGATTGAGCATGAGTGAGACTAGTGTTAGGCATTATCATTATCATCATCATCATCATCATTATCATCATCATTGAGAAAATCCATGGAAGCCATGATGAGGATTCGAACCTATGTGCTGGGTATTCCCCCCACACATGCTCTAGACAACTAGGCCATGACATGGTCAAAAAGATTGCAACCTGGGGTTCTGCTTAACCCACAAGAAGTCTGGAGGCTTCTACTGAAGCCAAACCAGGGTTTCACACAATTCCCAAATGCACTCTGGCTTCTGTCATCTAGGAATTCTACCTCTGACACCCTTATTTCAATAGTCATAATCATAATTCAATTTGTTAAGAGTTTATTGGGGAAAAACTAATGTGTTTTGATTATAATGGGAAAGTATTTCCCCTGTGGTATATGCAGTACAAAGTAATCTGAAGAATGTAAATAATATATTTACATAGTTTTAAGGTCTTAGCCATCCATAGAAAAACCTAACTTCATTAGCAGTGAGAGGTGTCCAGGAGTGCATTGCAAACATGGTACTCTAGCTGCATTTATGTTGCAATATCACTCTCGTATGTTTCGTTTTGCTGTTTCCTCATTCTTGTATTTATTTCTTCTCCTTTTCCTTTATATATTTCTGCTTCTTTACTTGTATTTCCATTTATTTACATTTCTTGCTTTAACTGTCGTTCATAAATTTATTTATGTTTCGCAATATTTTCAAAGTGCTTTTTAAACAAATAGTTAGATCAGTTACTGTATATTATTTTGGAATGGAGTATTTGTGGTATTTAATGAAGTTATAAAAGCGGTAGACTAAGTTTTTTATATGTAGGTTTTGTTAACATACAGCTAATAGTGTGAGGAGAATATAAAATTAATTTAGTTTATATTATAAAGAAGTAATCAAACTCCAATTACTATACTGTATATAAAAACCACTTGTCTGAACATTATACCCAGCTGCTTCCTAATTCAAGACCCTACTGACTATTGCTTTGAATTTTGCACAAGGATGAAAAGTTGATATTCTGCATCAGCATAGGGGGGAACTTTTCACTGTCCCTACTGGTTCATACTGTTACTATGGGTTTTACTGAAAAATTCTCAATTCAGAATACAGAATGCAGCCAGATATTGCATTCACGTAAATATCTAAACCTTTCTAATCTCTATGAGTGTACCTTATTTAGTACTGGAGATACAATTCTAGAAATGTGACTGCTCTCTGAAACAGTACGCCATGGAGTCATTTATTGTTCTTATGAAGATAGGTTTCCGACATTGTAATTTATTACCTCTGACCAACACATTAAAGGATGTTACTGAAACAAAAATGATGATAGTGGTGTTGATTTTCTAAACATATTCTGTATTCTCTCATTCTGTGTATACAAATTAAAACACCCCCCAGATGCGTGGATTAATTTATGAACTAGAGAAAGATTGTAGTGCAGTGGTTAGTTCAGCTGCTTCACAACCGAGTGATCTTGGGTTTCATTGTGTGTGTGTGTTGTTGCTCTGTTCTATGATCACAATGCTGTTGTGCTAAATTCTGTGTCTTGACTTGAACCTGTGGAACTCATTGCTGGTTAACTTTGTTGGCTGAGTGATACTTTTTTTTTTGTTAAGGACAGTTTACCCCAGGTCTCCCAACCCACCTTCTTTTCCTGCATTCCTCCTCATGCAGATGATCAATCATTGGTGTTACACAGTATCTTACTTTATGAAAATCTTTGCATGTGGAGTTTCTTTGTTGGATCTACTGCTATTTTTATGGAGAGAAGATGGTACTGCTCCTTATTCACATTTTTGCCTTATTTCATTGGCCATTTAAAGTGGCCTGGCAAGAATTACGGTAGTATGTACCTTACATTGTTAACCTCCTTCAGTATCATTTCCTCTTAGGGCTTTCTTTGCTTGACTGCTTACCGAGAGGTAGCTTATGCCCAACACTTTTGCTTCCTATGGAGGTTGCTCTGGTGGGGCCACCTCTTGTGAGCTTTAACATGGATATCTGTAGTTCTCTTTTCGTGAAATTTGGTAATGCATTTTTGAGCATTCATGTTGCTCATGCACTGTTGGAATTATCCCCTCCCCCCCCATTCTGGCTTTATCTTGTTTGTTTGGAAGGGTGCATCCCATCACTGTTCATTAATCTTGTACCTAGGTTCTTGGCAGTTGTAATGTTCCATTAGGGTGAGTACTTTAACCATATTGGTTTAGTGCTTTCCTTTGGTTACTGCTTTTACTAATGCCAGGCTCTACCAGCTTCAGTGCAGTGTGGTAAGCTTGGTCAGCCACAAACTTATACCCATGCTCATGATCATCAGAAGTTCACCACCTCACAGGCATTTTCCTTCACTATCTCCTGTGCTGACATCTAGGAAGGGAGGAATGGATAGGTTGAACTATATATTTGTCTCATTACCTTCCCAAGATTTCCCTGCCAATGACATCTGTATTGTACTTGGGTTACACTTCCATTTGATCATCTTTGTTCATTTATCTATCAGTGCATACCTATATCTGAATATAAGAAGGGGGGGGGGAGGTAGTTCTAGCTCATTATGTCCCATCTCTGAGCTAGTTACCTCTGGGTTTCCTGGAATGCGGATTGCCTCCATTCTTTGCAACTAAATCTAGTACAACTCTTAAGTAAAGGAGTGTTCAGAGCATTTTTATTGTCATGTTCATTGTATGTCTTGGGCCTTTTTATTAGGACTCAAATATGACCTTTTTATTAGGACTCAAAATTTAATTTGCTTCAACTTTTGAATTTTTCAAAATATCAAGAATAATTACTGTATTATTAGCACAGTATGCATATAAAGTATATTCTAAGAATACTGATTTCTGCATATTGTATGCTTAATGTTATCAAGGAAGAGAGATTGAGCAATAGTAAGCAATTTCTCCCTCTGCCTATATATTAAATTATGTACAGTATATATAAATGTGATGAAAAGAATATTGGTTGAGTGAGGACAAATTTCATCATTCTACACCTTAAAAGCTGTGCATATACATTGTACAGCAAATTTGCTCTTGGATAGCGTAGTGAAATACAGAAATGTACGCTAAGTTGCATTTCACTTATTGCTCATTCATTCTCTAATATTTTTGTTTTCACCTTTTCATATATGTACTGCTATCAGACCTTGAACTCCTCCCATGCTTCACATCTCCCTATAACAACAAAATATTTTACTTTACTTACTACTCTTTTCTTTTGCTCTTAATTTTATTGTTTTTCTCTCAGCTGTTACTCTGATGCCTCACTCCATCAGTATAAGAATGAGACAACCTTTACTTTCCATCTCAGTTCATCACTGTAAAGTCACACATCAGTCCCTCATAACCTGGCCTGATATAACTTTCACATTTCTTCTTGTTTAAGACGTTTTCACCATTATGACTGCTATAATAAAAATGCCATTCTTTTCTATGAGGAGATACCTTTGTATCTCCAAGCCACCTACCTAAAATCCTTCAAACCTTTGTACCACACCATGGCCAGGCTTAGGGAGTAAAAGAACTCCCAGAATCCCTTCCAGATACTTGAGTCTGGGCCCTTCAATAGAGGAGTGAGGACACAAGATCCTACATTACTTAATGGAAAACTCAACAGCAAGGTAGAGCACACTAAAATAACTAACCACTTTGACAACAATTGGAACCTTGATTTGAACTATGGACACATTTGTTCTCTAGGCTCAGCCACTGGTTAGCTCCACTCCCTTGCCACCAGATGGCAGTCTCAGCAACTGGGCAGATATCCCAATCATTCACGTATTTGGTGTGCTTGTGCTTCACGATGCACCCTGAAATTTCAGCAGGTATCTGTGCTCATGTTTGTACCTTGCATGTTTTTCATGCCAACCTGTTGCAAATGCCTTGATCACTTGTTTGCCTTGGTTTCATATGATCAGAGTTGCCCTGTCTGGTTGCCACTAGTGTTGCATCTGCCTTTGGTCAGGGTTCTCTTTCCTGAGAGAGTTCAGGAGTTCACTCTTAGGGTAGTGTATGCACTTTGGCTCCTCTGAGATCTGCTGGTTAAGGTGCATCACAGTTTGCTCGTTTCCAAGGGCGTGTTGTGTGCGAGTTTTTTCTCAGGTTAGGGGTTGGTTTTGAGTTTTGCAATTGCATCCCAATGCCCAGCCTCTCTACCAGTTTGTTTCATTTATAGTCCTGCTAATTTCCACACAAGTCTCATTCCCGTGAAGACTTTATGCTTCTTGATTTTGTAGCATTTCTGGGTGTTCCTCGGCCTCGATGGTTGCCGTTTGTCACCCTTTGGTTTCTGCCAAGTTTGTTTGCTTGGTTGATGAGTCTGTTCATCTCTGTTGTTTATATATGTTGCCTCATGTGTGGTTGCTGCTTGCTGTGCAGGGATTATTGTGTTGCATTGCAGACTGATTAGGCTCTGGTGCCCCTGAGTTGGTTCCTTCCTTTTTGGTGGGTGGTGGATCATGGGTGCTGCATCTTCATTTGCTAGCTGCACTCCTTACTCCTCCTTTCTGGCATATTTTGCATTAGCAGGCATCCTTTCTCTGGGGTGGTTTGTCTGGCCACTTCACCCCTTCTCTGGTACAATCTTTGAGTCAATTTAGGGTTTTAGTCACTTTTTTCTGGGGGCTTTGAAGTTTGCTAGGGTCATTGCTAGGGTTTATCCCTTCTGGGCCCAAGATGAAGACAACTGAGTCCGATAAGCCATGCAGAGAGGCTGCCTTGTTTTCTGGCTGTTTGGAACTATTGATGTTTGTTCAGAGCAATGTTTTAGTAATTCTTTTGTGCCTCTCTTCTCATAGGTGTTTGGCAGAGTTCTTGGCTATCACCCAGGGCCTCTCATCAGTTGTCAAGCCTTTGAGAGTATTGAGAAGTCCTGTAATAAATGCTCATAACTTTTCAGCTCCGTGGGTTTAGCGCACCTTGGATGTTTTGCTCCTCTGGCACATCTTTGGGCCTTGGGCTCCATTGGACCCCACCTGGATTTTCCGTCCTTCTGAGCGGGGCTTACTGTTGCAAGGAGTGGGGTTTTCTTTTCCCCCCCTCTGCGTATGATTTGGACGTGGGTTCTGCTCCTCCCCGGGGTTTGGTTCCGTGTCCCTGTGGATTCTTCAGTTCCGTCTTTCCGGAGGTTTTCGCCTTCCCGCATCTCTCCACCTGAGGTGCGGTCGGCTATCGTAGCTTACCTCCTACGTGACCCGGAGTACGCCTCCATAATGGATCCTTCTTCGTTCACGTTTGCATCATCGTGTCCTTACTGGGTGCGTTATGAGGTTCCCGGGTCGTCCTGGTTTGCAGACTGCCCCTTGTTTTCGTTGGATGATTGGGACTTGTTCTGTCGGACCCGCACGTTTGAGTGGCGCCAGGTGGTGACAGTGGTCCAGGTTTACCTAGAGGGCGATTTTGAGCATCTTAATGAGTGTCTCTTCGTTCCTGCCCTTTTGCGGGATGTTGGTGCAGTACAGCTCTATGTGCAGGTTCCTTCCCTGTCAGCTGGTTTGGCTCTCCTGGCGGTTCATGTCCGGGGGGTGTCCAACGTCCTGGCGGACGACCTGTCCAGGTTCATTCCCCTGTCCATGGAATGGACGGTCAACGCCGACTCCTTCAGTTGCAGAGCCAACTGAAGGAGTCGGCGTTCGGACGCCTGAACGCAACGCCCATGCATTGCTGGGCCACAGCAACGCGTGGCCGGGTACTACTAGTATATCATAAATGAACTGTAGTTACTATTAATTATAAAGCCAAATCCCTCCACAGACTTTGGGGGGTTTAATAAGTAAATAGAATTTAAAGTATTTCAGATAATAAAATAATGAAATACTAATATACATTAATTTAAATATTCATATATATAAATGATATGCAAAAACATGATATTCAGAAATCAATGAATAATGCTACAATCTATCTACAAAAACTACAAAGACAGCTTAGCTGTAGGCAGAAATAGTAGTAATCGTTATGTGAACTTGTATAAGTGTCGTCTGAAACATGTTTCATCAGGCTACTCTGGGAATACGTGAGCGTCGATGAAGGTATTGCCTCCATTGCATTTGTTCTCCAGCTGAAAGATGATTCACATGTAAAATCTATTGGAGAATATATTATTCCTCAAGTACAGTATTCAAAATTAATGTGAATAGCTAAGGGGAAGGAGACTTACGAGTTTGGTATTGGGGGCTTGCATCATAACGACTCGCTGTCTTATCTATAATATTTAATGCAAATACAAAAAACTAGAAAAGAACAAACTAATGTGCTGGACACTGTGTCTGTGACGTAATGAAGCTGCCTCGTCTTGTTGGCGTCCCTAGGTGCACAGACGGCTCTCTATGAAGATGATTGTGTGGTCAGCTTTCAGATACTCTTATTAAATATGGTGTCGCTTGCCAGTCTCTCCTCCTTCTTCCCGGGGTAGCTCGTGCATGCGCAGTCGTGCTATGACGGGTAGAATATTTTCTACGCTTTATTTAATTTCCCGAGTTGATGGATATAAGATGTATCAGAAACTATAGAGAATTAATCGGTCTTATTTTACAATATATAAATTCTCATTTCTTAATGATTAGATAAACTCTATGCGATATTAGAGTGCTGGATAGAAATTTTAGTCATCTGTGAATGTGCTGAAGTAACAATTTGTAATTGCATGAATTATTACCAGCTAATAAACAATATTGTTAACTCGAATATAAACATATTATCAGCTTGAATTCACTGAGTATATTCGTGTAATAGGGTTATCAAATAATAATTCACATTAAAGAATGTGAAATAAGGCAAACTTAATACAATTCTCATGAATGTAAATATTTTCCCTTTCGTCATGTGTGTGTTGATGCAACACCCGACTAGAATTTCTGGGAAATAAGATGATATCATGCCTTATTAAGTTAAAACTCAATATTACTAAACAATCTATTATTAGTAGCATTAGTAAATTAAAACAGTACGAGAATAGTTTCTTAATGTACTGAATATTATTAACCAAGTGTTGGAAATTTCCAACACCCCCCTCTCCCCTGGGGCTTTCAGGTGTAGTCTATTTGTCCTGTAGTTTCTTATTGCTACTAGCCTCATAGTTTTTTGGGGGTTTGTTCTGTAACATCTTCCCCCCTTTGATTTTTGCATTGCTCCTGTCACCTTGGCTCTCATATATAAGTTTGTGGCTAGCCCTACCTTAGTTGTCCTAGTCCATGGGGTGTTCCTTTGGTAGGTATACATCTTGGTTTTGCAAGGTGGTAGTGGTTTTGGGGTACTCTGCTGTGTTTTCTGTCATTTTGGAAACTACATACAAAATGCAATCAAAATCCACATTACATTGTATTGAAAGAAAGCAAGAGAAAGCAACAAAATATTTGTGCGTAATCATGTTGGAAGACCTTCAAAGAACATAATAAAGTATGTCACAACTGTAAGAAATAAGACTGGATAACAAGAACCTTTCAAACAAGAGATGCCAAACCAATGATTTGTTTTTAATGCACTAGTGGTCTCAAAGGTGGAACAATAACAGCCCCATTCTAAGCTGGAGAAATTGCTGACCTGGAAAATGTGCAGAGATCTTTTACTGCCTGAATCCATTCAATAAATCATCTGAATTATTGGGACCATTTAAAATTTCTCAAGCTATATTCTCTAGAGTGCAGGCGAGATAAATATATATATAATAATTTACATTTGGAAATTAGGGGAACTGATTTCAAATTTGCACACGGAAGTAACTTCTTACAAGACTAGGAGGCATGTCAGGAAGTGCAAAATTACCCTGTTGAAGAGAAGAGGTGCAATGGGTAGGATAAGAGAGAATTCTATCAACATTTAGGTTCCAAAACTTTTCAACACTCCCTCTAAACATACTGGGAATAACAAGATGACCTCTCACTGTTCAGAAAATAACTTGATACACACACTTCTTCTATAATGTTGGCTTCATTTTATATTTTTGTGACCATTATCTTTACATTATCCATTTATATGAGCACCTTACTTTCCCTTTTGCATTGCACTCTTGACCCAAAAATTTAAAACTAACTTCTGCTAATAGACGAGAGCGAACACTACCAGATTAAAGTTGAACGACTTTAATGAAACTCCTGTGCACTTCTAGGATTATAAACTTAACAAACCAGTGTATTTGCATGTAAGAAGTGGACACTTGCTCGTCGTACAGTTAGCCCTCATTTAATTCACAACTTAAAATTAAATTCGTGATCTTGCTGGGAATGCAGGGTTATGTATTGGGTTTTGAATATTTCAGTTTTAATTAATTCCACAATGGAGAATTCCTTGTTAACAAAAAAATGTGATGATGAAGGCTAACTTTGATGTGAACTGTGTTGTGACTAACATGTGTTTGGTGTCTATGTGGTGGCAGGCTACCACTGGGATTGCTCAGATTGGGCGCGACCATCCCAGAATCCACTTCCTAACATCATGGAGGTCCCTGGAGGTGAAGTGAGAGATTCTTCATCATACCATTCCAATGAATCAAATGAATCTATAGTAGTGGAACCAACCAAAAACCAGCCTTTGATGCCACCAGGTGGGTTGTTTTGTAAAGCCTTGGTTTGTGTGAAGTAGCATAACTTTAATATTCATACTTAAGGTAACATTAGTGCTGATATTCATTGGTTAGTATTTGAATTGGAAATGTTTTCCAGAGTATCTTCTCAGTTATTAGCATGAAATGCACAAAACTCACTTTTTATGGAATCAATGACAAAATATAACTGCCATTTTCAAAGGAGAAAACATATTAATTTGAACATTCTGTTAATGTTTACTGTATAGTAATATCAAGAATTAGATTTTCGTAATATAAATGAAAGTAAAAAGAAAAAGTGCAATAACATTATTTAGTTACGAGCATACAGTTACCGACACGCAGTCACTGTATTACATTGTATTGGAACATAGTACAGCACTGATATTTTTTCATAAGGCACTAATCTTGAACAAGATTTCAAGTAAAGTTTAGGTCATCAGCAAATAGAATTATCTTAAGGTGTTGTGTTACATTTGGTAGGTCATTGATGTATATGAGAGAGGAGTGGACCAAGTACAGGAATACTACTCTATGGAACACCAATGTTAATTAACTGGAAGTGTGGTAAATACCATTATTTACAGAAACATATACATGCTGTTGAGCACGATACAGTACTGTCAAGTCTGTCCTCAGGCCGAGTTCAGGGATTAGAAGAACTCCCGAAACCCCCCCCCCCCTCAAAGCATGCTCCAGGTGCCTTTTACCGACAGGAAGAACAAATGTATTGGAGTGTACCTCTATTCCATAGTGATGCAAAATCAAAAAGAAAGCTATAGTTAATAGTTTCAAAAGCCTTTCAAAAGTCAACAAATAGTCTTATCGAGTTCTTAGTTTTATCAAGAGCTGATCAAGCCAAGCATATTTTTTCAACCTGTCATCTCAGATAATACATCATATGTATTATCATGTATCAATTTATACACTGTTGATGTATAAATTCCCAACATCAAAATATGATGGACTATAAATCATAGTGGCCCACAAAATTGACAGGCTGTTGTGATTCTATTCGTAGATCCATTGGTTTGATTAGGTTCAAACACTGAAAGTACATAATTTTTATGATGTGGCAACTCGAGAGCATGGGCTGATTTATTACAACATTGTTGGTACTTATATGGGTCTGAAGCCATATTAGGAAGAGTTAATTCTATCATAATTAGCTAGGCAGGAGTAAAGTACTTTAATTTTGCAAGATTATATTCCTGATACTTACTCTTTTCTTTCCTTACTCTTCCTTCCTTCCTTCCCCTATCGAGCAGTGGCTACAGCTGAAATTTCTCCAGGAGACTTACCACACAAACCTTTCATTCTCTTTAGCTGTCTTAACTCTATCCCCTCTTCTCTACTCTTTCATACATTGTTCTGCTTTTCTCATCTGAGATATTGTTTGCCTGTCTCTATCCTTCTTGCTGTAAGATTCTCAGCTATCCTGCTAACATGTCCATATTCCTTAAGTACATTGTGCTTTACTCACTCCACTCTTACATTTTATTCCCTTACCCATTTTACTCATACCAAATCTCATACTTACTCATTGCTATACCCATCTAAATTTTTTCTTGGTAGGAAAACTAGTGTAAATACGGTAATTTCAAGTGCTTGTACACTTGAGCACTTAAACCCTTTCGGTATCCAGGTTTTACCAATATGTCAGCTGGGAGTACTGTAATATACTTTTTTTTTTACTATCTTTCATACTTATATCCCTTATTTTGATTATACTATTCAGCTATTGTTATGCTATTTTTATCTCACTCTGTTCCCACATATTTAATACTTGCTATCTCTTTCAATATCCAATCCTACTATTTTTATTCTACAGTTCATATTCTGTATTCCCTTATTCACAGTTCTTAGAGTCTTTCCACTCTACCAAGATCTGCAAGATCTACAGTATCTCATTCCCTTCTCTCAAACACCTTTTTATATAAATGATCTTCAACTTTCTTTGCTGGTAATCACTATCAATTTCATTCACAATCTCTAGCAATTTCTCCTCCATCTTGGCAAAAGTTCACTGCATCATCTACTTACAAATGTAGTATGTCCATAAAAGTAATTTATCTTAATAGAGTCCATTCCACTCCCATAAGTAACCTATCCATACAGGATACTGATATATATATTAAAAAGATGGAGATATTGCACAACCCTCTTCTATGCCAACCCCAACATTAAAATTATATACAAATAATTTTTACCCCCATATCCAAAACATAAATACTCTTTATTTAGAGGGATTTTCTAAATTCATAAACCTGCATACAACTTTTTAACTTTATAATAATTTTCACAGTAAAATCTGATCTATACTACCCCCTTCATTTCTGTACCCATCTTTGCCCTCCCTTGTCCCACAGTTCTACTAAGCAACTAATCCCCCTATTCTCCCCACAATCTTCTCCATTACCCTTTTCCCATGAATGTAGTTTTGCCTTTGTCCAATTGCTTGCCATCTTAACTTCTTACCTCATCATGACATACAGCTAATATGTTTATTATCACCTCCATACCTCAATGTATCCACAGTTATCCCATACCCAACAGTCATTTCTCTTTCCAGGTATGCTCCTCTTTAACCTATTCATATGTTCTCAGAGTCTTTTAACTGCTTGCCCAAATACCAACATGGACCAGTGATTCAAATTTGCCTGTGCTGCTTCTTGGCTGAGCACCCAAAACACTCCTAGCTAGTCAAAACTTATGCTGGCTTATGTGTTAATTTATCGTCATCTAAACTGTACATTTAATTTCTCTGTAAGAAGTAGGTGAAATTTAACAACTAGTAAAGAATTATTTATTTAATATGAATGTTTTAAAGCACTGTACAGTATTTTTATTTGTGAAAGACATATCTGACTGTCTACTAGCTACCTGCCTATTCTTCCTTCCAGCCATCTGTCCAAACACCCATCCTTCTATTTATACTGTAATTGTCTTTTATAAACTTTTTGGCCTAACACCTCTGTAGAAGACTCAAATTCTCCCAAGTCCTCATTGACAACCAGTTAGCCAAAATAATAGCACCTAGACACCATTTCATGGTTCTACATGGAGCAGCAGATTAAATCTTGTTACATACACCAAGTTATTGGTTATTATTGTACTGTATTGTACTTTTGGACTTGACTCTCGTTTTGATAAGGCATTGAGGTTTGACTGTTACTCGACTGAGATCCCTTGCTCTCCTGCTCTCATTCTCAAGGTGCACAAGCCAAGGGGTGGTAACAGCACTCTACTGTATTTCAACTTTAACATGTTTATTCTTTGTTGCAGTTGAGGGCCCTGTAGATCCTGGCCGTGACATGGAGACCTTGCCCGCTGACGAGCTTATCAGCGAGTGTGATACAGAGTTTGAATTAGAATCTCGGCCTGATTTGGACACTTCCCAGCTTCTTGATCCTAATTCTGATGCTGGAGCTGAGTCAGACACCTCATTGTTTACTCCACAACCCCAAAGGTAAAGTTTTCTAATCATCAAAACACTATTAAAATAAGTATTGTAGTATTTGATTGCACATAACTGTTTAGGAATGCCTATAAATTTTCACTTTCTTTACATGAACCACTATATGCACCATCTACAGTAAAATAAATTGGTTTTCCTTGCAAATAATTAATCATTATATAGTTCCAACTTTCATTGTATGGATATGTACCAACAGGAAAGGATAGGAAAGTATTAGAGAAAAAGGAGTTTAAAGGGACATTTTAATGTTCATGCTACTTTAACAAACTGCACAAATGGAGTTCTCTTCACTGTCATGTATTAGTGCAATTTAACAACCTTTTCTTTGTCCTCCTTCCCTCACTCACTGTTATGCACTTCACCACTATCACCAATCATCTCAAAGTCTCAAATTTGTACACGTATTGAAACTTAATCCCTCATTATATTCCTCCTTTTAACATGACATATCATTCTGACAAGTGGCATTCTAAACTGTATCACTCACTGCATCACTGCATTTTCATAACTTTCTTTTGTTAGCCTACTCTGCACTAGACTACTTTGGCATACACCCCTCTTTTGCTAACCATGCTTTTAAAATGTTTAAACTCAACATATTCAAGACCTTTCTGTAAGCCTTGGTATTAAGACACAAGTTGTTTCTTTTGTATACAGTGCCAATTTAATACTCTTATTTGGAAGCCTAGGCCATCAGTTGCTGCCTTAGGCAAATTCCTGCTTCTGCAGGAACATTGCTAACTCCAGCACAGGTCAGGATCATACTGATGCAGGAATATATTTATGAAAAATTCTCAGTCTAGTCCAGAATGATTTTATCAGCTGGTACATTCCTCTGTACTCAAAAACTTCATCCAAACAATACTGTACTCGAAATAAAAAGCTGATTGCCATCTAATGGTAATCAGTCTTTTACTACAAACTTGTATTTGACAACTTAGTCAGCACCACTACCAATAAAAAGTTGGCAGTATCAGTAATGTAAACAGTTACTGGAAATCTCGCTTTGCTTTCTTCCAAAGCTCATCCCCAGCTTCTACCGGTCAGCAACTTTCATCTCATTGAGTGACCAGTTGACTAATACCAAGAAGTTTTAGTCTTGTTTTGTGGGTTTGTGCTTTCATAAATGCGTCAAGTGGGTGGGTATATTTAATTGACCTTCACTGCTTTTCATTCTACATTCTTAAATGTGGGGGATAAATATTCACATATAACACATACACACACACTCGTACTTTTTATACAGTACTGTATAACTATATACAACCAGTACATCTGTACAACCACTTGGGCTAGATGGTAGAGTGACAGTCTCTCTTCATGCAGGTCGGCGTTCAATCCCCGACCATCCAAGTGGTTGGGCACCATTCCTCTCCCCATTCCCATCCCTAATCCTTATCCTGACCCCTTCCAAGTGCTACATAGTCCTAATGGTTTAGCACTCTCACTTGAAAATTCCCTCCCATCCATCTTATAAATTTAAAACAGAACATTTCCTTTGTAATGTGAAATTGTCTTTGATTCTATTTTAGTTGTCACCTGTAGAAAGGATTAATCATGCAATCATTACAGTCTACTTTCTTGTTTTGATTTCTCTCTCATTTGTATTGACTTCATTTAATAGTACTGTACTATCTTATTTTACTGTCAATCTACTTGTATACAGCATTTCATGTAGTACTTTCTTTTATTTTGATGGGTTATTGCATGTGGAATGCTTTTGTTATTAATTATTTAGATCAGTAAGACTTGTATTTGTATTTAATGTTCTTTCTCTTTCAATGAATTTATAATTCAAAAGGTATTTTACATTTATATTGTATGTCTTCAATTTAAGTACACAATTATCATGTGATTAAACAAAATTTAAATAATCTTAATAAGTGCAGATTCATTGTTAATTTAGCCTTAAATAATAAAAGATTTTGATGAGGAATTTAAAAAAATTAGGTATTAAAAATACCACATACATATAATCTGAAAAAGATTGATAAAAGAATTTAATAAATCTTTACAGTGTTTCCATCTTCCAGAGCCTTAAATTCAAGTACCCAGTATTGATATGATAAAATCAAATTTAAATAATTCATGATTAGAAAACTAGACTGATTTAAAACTGTACTTCAGACTAAGCATAATTTATTCACATTCTCATCTACTGTATACATTTTCTAGATACGTACCATGTACATACTTAAAACAATTGTGTGATTGTGTGTGTGTGTAGAAACATTACATGTCTTAACACCTCTGCCACCTTGTCTCACACTTAATACAAAGTAAACCCCCTTACATAACTCCCATGAAATAACATGGTGATAAGTAGATTGCCTGGCCTTGGTCATCATTGATGATCTTTTACTGGGAAGAATGTGGCTGCTTGTAGGGATAATTTCTAACTATTGGGGTGTTCACTGATTGTAAACGTGGTTTCATTGAATTGATAAGCTTCTTTAATGAGCTCTCACATTTACTGTTAATTTGTTCTTCTTGCTTGTTCATACTTTTTATAAATGTTTCTAGTGCTGCTAATTTTCTAGAATTATTCTAAGGTAACAGTGTTCAACCTTTATAGAAAAAATAATATTTTTAGCAAATTAGTTTGAATGTGGGAGAAGCATATTTACATGTTTAAAGGGAATGCTGAAGTAAACAAAATTTTAACATTGATATCTTGCAGAACAATAACACATTATTACATTCCACATTACTTTCTGTTTCCATCCACTTAGTTATGCTATCAACAATATAGATAATAAGTTGAGTCACCTATATTTGTAGACAACATTTTGTCTGCAATAGCATAATCAGTTTGATGCAACCCATGCAGCTGAAACTTTGTCTTCCAATAAAGTCTACTGCCAGCTTTATATTTCGATACATGCCCTGTATTGTAAATTAGCTTCTGGGTAACATTAATCTTTTCACATTAAAGTTTATTAGTAAAACTTAGTTAATAATATCTATTATGCACTGTGCTTGTGTAATGGCTGAATTAGTTACATAATTCTGTGTCCAGTGAGGCAGATTTATGATCTCAAATAACATAGTTTGCAATTAATTAAATTACAATAGCTTGTGAGCCTTGTTTTGCTGCCAATTCAGTGTACTGGAGCCTAGCTAAAATGGATACATTTCCAGACCCTACTGTTGTATTTTAACTATTAAATATTAATATTTTCTGCATTTCCAATTTATTTTTTTTGCTTTGGATATGTATTGAAGTAACAAGACAATAAATCAGATATTTAAGCACATTTTGAAGAAAAATGTCATTGTATTTTTATCACAGTTCTAATTGTATGCCAAGAAAGACGGTGATACAAGAAATGATAACTGACATATTATTTTAAAGGGTGCATGTTTGATATCCAATTAAAATAATGATACTCATTGGAAAATGCATTACATTTATCAATACATGGTAATTAAAAAACACAGAAATTGGATGATAGCAGTGCACTATTTATATAATTTGATGGTTATTGAGGCCATTAATTTATTAATTTATCTATTAAAATGGGCATTTAAGGCCAGGTAATTTACTCTATATACTTCCCACAAAGAGTTATAGCAAGTTAAAAAAATTAAATCAAATTATAAACACTTGGGAGACACAGTGTAATGTATTAATACCCCCCCAAACACATTTCGTCAAACACATACATTTTCTTTCTACAGATACGAGACTCACCCCAACCAATACCTTCCACATTATCAAATTGGCAGTGAAACAGAAACAGAAGATGAAAGAAGCAAGTTATTAAACACACTTGATGACCCTTACAGTGTAAATTACCGGCCTCCACCAATCAGTCATCTCCCCGAGGATCGAGATGGTGTTACTTATTCCCCATACCGAATTCGTAGCAATCGCAGACATGATACTGTGAAACGTTTTAGTGAATTTGGAGGCGATATGTCTGTGATTTCTGGAATGGAGGATGAAGAGGAAGGAGCCTCCCTTTGGGGGGGTGCAGCTTCAAATACATCTGCATCAGACCTGGATAATGTCTGTGATATTGAGGACTCAGAAGTAAACTCCGAATTTGAAAATGATGATAAAGGAAAGAAATGAATATATTAATGAGCATTAGTACAATTCATATTATATTATAATATATATATATATATATATATATATATATATATATATATATATATATATATATATATATATATATATATATATATATATATATATATATATATAATAAAATACCCTAATTTTTTTTGGCAAATCTCAAAACTGAACTGATTGCATTAATTGGCAAGAATTGTTTTGATTGAAGCGCACAAATGAAACGGTATGAATGTAATAATTGCATATTTACTGAAAATCAAATAATTTAGTCTGCAAACATTTCAAATAAATCCAAAATGATGGACAAATGCTGTGTATTAAACTAAGTGTGAGTGGCAAAAAAAGTGACAGGATTATGTCTATATTTCAGCTGCCATTTCCTAGTGCCTGTATGCCGATTAAGTAAGAGTTCATATAACTTATGTATATCTTCCAGTGTGCCTAATATCCCAAGGTCTTCATCAATTCATATAATGACTGAATGGTCCTGATATTTTCGTGTAAATCTGAATTGTGATTCCTTGGACAAAGTGCCAATTTTTTTATTTAGTGAAAGAAAACCAAGGAATTCCTATGTATGATGTGTCAGTACATTAGACCTACTAGCACTGGATATGATATTTTTTCTCATCCAGGAAGTAACACCTGAAAATGTTACCCTGGAGTATGTTGATTCTCAAGGTCTTTGGTGCTACTGGAATGGACAGTGCAACAATAGCTAGCAGACGATGTAATTTGCTACAGGTGAGTGGGCCATTTAGGTGTTGTGTATATAAATGTGTAAATAAAACAAATTCAATGTATATAACTAAAAAAAATGTGTTTCACAGAATGTTTATATTTTTTTGCAGTGTGAACAAACAGGGTTAGATTTTTCAGGTATGTTATGCTGCCTGTGAGAATTCTGGGTATGCAATCAATCACAGCTTAGGGCTGAATGATCGACTAGTCTGCATTAGATGTTGCAATCTTTGAGCATTTTTGTCATCATTTGAGTTACAACTTGGCACTGAAAATCCATTTCATCTATTAAAACATTATTCTGATTTCCTGTTAACCCTAAAGCCATACAGTTCATTTTTTTAGAGAACTTTTTAGTACAATTATTTTTTTATGCAAGAACAGTTTAGTGCACCTTTTAATCTATCGTGTGCCAAAGGCAGCAGTCATTTTCTTGTGTCCACAAGTGTCCTTGAACAGAGCAGAACAGATTCGGGTCATTGACGAGAGACAAAGTAAAATGTGTCTGATATTCTATAGTATGATATTGGCCCGTGTCCTATCTGTCCTGAATGTTGCTTGCAACTATTAAGATTAACTGGAATTGAAGAGCATTTTGTATGAAATATAATTATGTAATTTTTGTATATTAACAATGATTAATCTATTCCTGAATAAAAAGATCTCCAAACAGCTTCCCAAATAAGGCTTCCTCTATATAACTTTTATTTATACATTTTTGTCGTTACTTATTCAGTTATATACATGTGCATTGTAATTGGAGATGCAGGTATATCATAATTTACTTAATTAAGTGTGTGTGTGTGACGAGACCTGCAAATATGACTTGAAAATCGTTGCTGGTAAATTAAATATCTGATGTATTTTCTGGTATATAATGTCACAGTTAACATTAATGTTACTGATTGATGCTTGTTGTTGCTGGTCATGCCACATACAGTGTAATCTGTTTTTTTGCCATTTTTCCAGCTATCATATCCTCTTTACCATTCCGTTCCTGATAGGTTACTGTACTAACCGAAGTAATTGTGATAATAGCTGTACTCTATAAAGGAGGAATTCATATTTTTACTGTGAACTAATACAGGAGTAATGGTTATATTAAAACTTTTATGGATGAATGGTTGCCATGGCAGCTATTGTTTTATACAAATTTTGTAAATAAACTTGTAATAACTTTTAATTTTTAGTGTCTTTTAAACCCTTTAAATTGTTCACAGTATTGCATTTACATACATCTGTGAGACAGTTGCAACTATTAACATTAAAGGTGAAATGATGATGATGAGCTGTCTGAAGCAAAAATGAGAACTATGACAAATGTTGCACACCAATAAAAGTTTACTCTTTTTCAGTTTTGCCTCACAGAGATAGCCTTAACATAATAAGGTGGCTTGTAATTACCTAAGTGTAGTTACAGAATGAAAGCTGCACTCGTGGTGTCCCGTCTTCCCAGCACTCTTTGTCATATAACACTCTGAAACTACTGATGGTTTTGAACTTGTTCCAACCATCTACCACTCTGTTTGTGAAAGTAAATTTTCTTATATTTTTTTCAGCAGCTTTCTACAGTTAGTTTAAATCTATGACCTCTTGTTCTTGAAGTTCCAGGTCTCAGGAATTCTTTCCCATCAAATTTATCAAGTCCCGATTTTGAACATAGTGATCATATCGCATCTTTTTCTTCTATCTTCTAGTTTTGGCATATTTAATGCCTCTAACCTCTCCTCGGAGCTCTTGTCCCTTCAGTTCTGGGAGCCATTTAGTTGCAAATCTGCACCTTTTCCAGTTTGTTGATGTGCTGCTTAAGATATGGACACCATACAACTGCTGCATATTCCGGCTTTGGTCTAACCAAAGTCGTGAACAATTTCTTTAGTATTTCACCATCCATGCATTTAACAGCAATTCTGAAATTAGAAAGTGTAGCATAGGCTTCTCATATGATGTTCTTTATGTGGTCCTCTGGTGATCCAAATTCTTTAAAGATTTCTCACATAATTTATAGGTTGTGTAGGGTCTATGTTCTCCTATTCCACATTCCATAACATGGCATTTATTCACATAAATTCCATTTGCCAAGTGGTGCTCCACATACACTTATTTTGTCCGGGTATTCTTGTAGGGCATGACAATCATATAAGTGTCTTATCTTCCCTATTATTGTAGCATCATATGTAAACATGTTCATATAATTCTGTAATCCATCTGAGAGATCATTTATGTAAACAATGAAAATTACCAGTGCAAGAACTGAACCCTGAGGTACGCCACTGTGGTGTGGTGATATTTCTTCAGTTTGATACATTGCCTCTGATTATTGGCCTCATTTTTCTGTTAGAAAATTTTTCAGCCATGTTAGAAGCCTAACTGTCACTCCTTCAATATGGTCCAGTTTACGTAACTACCTCTTATGTGGAACTCTGTTGAAAGCCTTTTTTTAGGTCCAGATAGATGCAGTCAACCCAACCATCTCTTTCCTGTAAAATCTTTGTGGCTCGATCATAGAAACTGAGTAAATTCAATACACAGGATCTTCCAGATCAAAAACCAAACTCTATCTGATATTTTATTGTTTATCTCCAGGTGTTCTACCCATTTAGTTTTAATTATTTTTTTTCCAATATTTTGACTATTGCACTTGTCAATGATACTGGTCTATAATTGAGTTCTTCCCTGCTGCCACTATTTTAGATTGGAATTATGTTAACCTTTTTCCACACATACGTTAGGACTCCTGTACACAGGGATGCCTGAAAAATCAGTTGAAGTGAAATGTTGTGTACCATTTCTGGATGGTAAAGCATAGATCCTAAATTTCCTACTCTATCCAAAGGAATTGTGTGTTACTAATTGTATGTTTCTCATTTGGATCCCTGGATCTTCTGTATGTCTGAAAGGACATTAAGATCCATACCACAACAACAGATATGTCATTTTTAAAGATCCAAGGAAAGCAGCATGTAAAATATCTGGGAATTATGATGACTGACAACCAGAAATTTAGTGAACATAACCAAGCAAATATAGTGGCAGCCAGGAAAATGATAGGATGGATTATGAGAACGTTCAAATCCAAAGATCCCACAGCCATCCTAATATTATTTAAATCACTGTACTGGTGCTGTCCCCCCAGTGATTTTGCTCTGGTGCTGGCCATGCTGGAAGTATGGTCACGGAGTATCTGTAAATCTACTTCTGTCTCCTCTGAATTTGATTGGGCCACTTCAAATTCGCAAACGAAGTCAGTAGAGTTACTTTATAAATTAAGGCAATGGTTACCTAGCATATACTATCAGGCTGGACAGTTTATAAAACAATTAAAATAACAAGAAAACTTTACATACCATGAAGCAAAGAAAACTTATGCCTACAAACATTAATGGTACCTGATCCCTATTCACATCTATTCATTCAAACATACCTGATGAGTTTTTGGTAAAAATTCTCCTGGCCACATAAGGACCTCTCTTCTACTTAGATACCAAATTCAGCTTTTCTAGGCTAGTTACCCACCTTCAAATCTTTCCTTCTTTCAGTCTCCTACACCTGGATTGTATTATCCATTAAATTAACTCCCCTCTCTTTTAGGTAGTGTATTTCATTGACTAGATTTTCATTGTGAATGGCATGGAACATTACAGACAATGAAAACCAGGAAAATAGCCATGCAGAAATACATTACATTTTTAGACCTAGTAGGAAGTGAATTCAAAAGCAGGTAAAAAAATTTGTTGAAATATTTAAAAAAAATTTACTCAAACTAAACCCTGTCTGAACTCTAAATAATTTTAGAAACCTCCAAAGTACAGTAGCCCTTGGATACTTTGAAGCTATAAGGGCATTTAAAAGAGAGTTCATACTTAGTCCAGGTGGAGATCAACAACAACTCCAATTCCGGGTCCCTAAACACCATTGCAGCATTCAACTGATCACAAATCTGTGAACGTATGACCATAGCAAGCCAAGCTTTCAAAGCAGTAGTTGCCTTGAAAACTTCTGCTTTGCCTTTGACTTGGAAGGTGAATCGAAGTGGAGACCCAGAGAGCACAACTCACAGAACTTTAGTTCGACAGGTCGAAACAACTACTCCAAATACCCACAAGGAAAAAGAAAGCTAGCCAAGCAGGATATCTAGACACTGAGGCTTCTAGTCAGAAGACAGTAGCCTAGTGCAGCCAATACAACTAGGCTACACCTGATGACTGTTGCACGTTGCATAAACAAACATGAATCCCATCATGCCCCAGCACAACAGAATGTCCCCAGCCCAGGGTACAAACAGAGGAATCAGTGACTCAAAAATAGCCCTAAGTGAGGTTTCCCCTCGTGGCCTGGCCTCTCTGGGACGAATTCCTGAACATTTCCATCTCCCCCACCTCTGTCCTAAAAATCTCACTATCCCTCTCCCTTCATCTTTCCCCATCTCTTCCCATCTTCCCATATCCCCCACCCTCATCTTTCCCGTTCTCACTCTTCCCTCATTTTCCACCAGTCCCCATCATCTTCCCTCTCCTTCATCACATACCATCTCTTCTTCCTCCTCCTGTCCACCCCAATCTCTCCTCATCATCCCCCACATCTTACATCAGTATATCATGACCAAACAGATACATTCAGACACTACTTAACTGTAATAAGTTCCAGCAACTAAGGAACCATTTACAAAATGAGTATCTCTGGGAGATGCAGCCATATTTTTATCATTTTCAGGATCAAAGAAATAAACATGTACAATGGTATTTGGCAGATTTGAATTTGATACCTTCATATTGTGTAAAATCAGTACAGTATATGCCAAATTATACCAAAATGCTTAGACCATTTTTTTTCCTGAATTTTGCCCTGAAACACACTTGTGTCCAAACAAGTAATTTGTAATTGCATTAACAGGAATGCCACTTTGTTTGCAAGTGGCTTAATCTCTTTAAATTTATCAGTTTTCCTTTCATATTACCCTGCCTCTCTATTTCCTGTATTATTAAGTCACTCAAATTCTCATTCTCTCTCTCTCATTCTCAAGAACAATGCTATTCCCCCAGATATATGGCTTCATGCATGGAAGGAGTGTGCATCATTGCATCACCACCTTTCTTACCCTGCACACTAAAAAGTCATATACCACCTTCCTAGATCTCAAGTCTGCCTTTGATATTGCAAATAGACATGTTATCTTGAGTGAGCTTGCAAGAATGAATATTGGTGGTCGGCTTCTTTGTTGGATCAGGGGTTACTTATCCAACAGGAAGTCATCTGTATTTTTCCAGGGGCATAGGAGTGTAACAGGAGACTTTGAACTAGGTACCCCGCAGGGAGGTGTCCTTAGTCTTACTTTATTTAATATCTTAGTAAACACACTGTTAAACTCTGTACCAAGCAAACCCAACTTACACATCATTAGCTATGCTGATATACTGATACACACCACTGGGTATGCGAACACGCAGAACACTCTTAACTCTGTACTAGACTCATGTCAGGATCTAGGTTTAGTTATCTCAGCAGAGAAAACAAAGATACTAAATCGGCGCCCACCCAGGCAAGGAGGAGCTGTTCGCAAGATGCAACCGGTCCATAGAATTACCCAAATCGGCCCAAAACTACACAAATCGTCCTAGCATTACGTAAGTAATGAAGAAATATGGTATATTTACTTACTATAATGTTGGTGCTACACGTAGAACATGATCAAACCTATTTTTACTCTGAAATAATCTAATTTCATAACGAAATGAGACGTAAATATGAGAGGTGACGCCATAGGAAGTCGACGGTCCAAGCGACAATTGTGTGGAGCGACTTATCCAAGATATATGGTCGCCTGGAGAGTGTTTGCTGCCATATCAGCTTCCTGTACACAGTGATCCAGTCGTCGCATTTCATGGCTCAAATTGTCGCAAATTTAATTGGTGATATTAAGAAGTAGAATGTGTATTTATATAATATCTTTCATAAACAGCCATTAAATCTTTAATATTTATTAAACAAAACGTGTCTGGAAGTTAAATCAATTCCACACGACAATAAATTTGTTATATAGATACTAGCGTTATTCGTTGGTATGCGTTCGCAATTTAAACTGCTCATGTCCTTTTCGTTCATTGAACACCGAACCCTACACAACCATGCACAACTCAAAGTCCAACAAGTCACACCCCCGGAGTAATGCAATCGGAACCTGAC